AGTGCACAGGGAGGCATGAGTTCTGGAAAGCTATGTGAAATTGAGGGTACCGGTCACCATGATCTCTGGAAACTGGAGGCTGTCCTTTAGGCACAATGTTGTTTTGGGTGCCTTTATTATGCTGATGATGCAAATGGTTATGTGCTGTGTATGATTTACTGTTATTCCAGAATTTCTGTAGCAAAAATGTTCTGTTGGAATAACTTTGTGTGATTCAGAGGACTTCCATTTCACTGTGACAGCTTGTCTTTGCCAAGTGCAAATTTTGTTTGCCAACATCTAAAGACCTTGTAGCCTGAATTCTCAGACATATTAGAAGTTTCTTTTTTGCAAGAGATATTTCTATAGAGTAAATTAAATCAACATTGTTTTCAGCACTTGCATGATGAATATCAGGTGAAAATTTTCAGAAACTTCATTTAGGAGAAGTTTTGGCAGATGGTGCAAGATTGTTAAAATGGCTCATAATCATAGCAATGTTTTAAATAACATTTATTTAAATGGTCTCCTGTCTGAACTATAGCTCTCATTAATTCATTTACTACATCTTTCACATTTTCACTGGCATGTTTGAATCAAGTGATGGGATCAGTAAGAGAGATCTGGAAGATCCTCTTTGCTGGCTATGGCTGTCATACAAAGCACATTAAATCATTTTGCTAGCTTTTTTTTTGTGGTAATAATTTCAGTGCTATAAGGCAAAATTTATAGAGCACTTTTCTCAGTGTGGTAGGACAGATAAAGTGCTTCTGCTATACATTATAACCTATACATCAGGTGGTTTTGATTGTTACGGTATTTGATCAGCTGTCACTTATGGTGCTGTCATGTCCAGAAAGTGACAGCAGAATCAGAGTGGATTTCTGAACTTCTAGTGGTTGTTGATTCCAGATAGAAATGAATCCTTATTTTGGTTAATTTATCTAGGTTTTCCCTGCAAAATAATTGATTGAACTGATTACAAATTCTAACCTGCATTGTAGAGACTGTATGTGTCCATCCTTACAGATACCAGCTGAGTTTGGCCACATTGTCCCAAGCGCGTTGCTAGTCCTGAAAGAGATGTTAAATTCAACAGCAGCTGATGTAGAAAATGCTTAATTCAATAGCAGGAGGTGTAGAAGATGCGAAATTCAGCAGCAGCTGCTGCCCCCTTAACTCATTTCTGGATGGGTAAGAGTAATCTTTTTAATAGTATGTTTTGGATTTGTTCCCAGTTCCACTGTCACTGGAATCAGGAATTTATATTTCCTTACTCTGTCTGAAAAGCCTTCAGAGTTCTGTGTGAGCTCTTTGTTAAGTATGGTTCTCTTGGATATCAGTGATTTGTTCTAAGGCTTTTGCAAGTGCCCAGCAATTCGGCCAATTAATAGTAGTCCTTACTTCTGGGGAACTGAGCTGCTGCTGCCTTCTGCCAGGATCACCTCTCAGGCCTTTTTTCTCCTTTAAGATATAAAATGTTTTTCAGCTTTTGGGTCCTATATTGTCCTTTTAGGTGTTAATTATGCATCTTTATGGGATCAGTAAGAGAGATCTGGAAGATCCTCTTTGCTGGCTATGGCTGTCATGCAAAGCACATTAAATCATTTTGCTAGCTTTAAGATGTAAAATGTTTTTCCTTTAAGATGTAAAATGTTTTTCAGCTTTTGGGTCCTATATTGTCCTTTTAGGTGTTAATTATGCATCTTTATACTTACACACAGGAACCTGCTTCAAGAAAACAATACATACATATGAGCCAAAAACAAGATGGGAAGTCAAAACATATGTGCAGCTAGCTCTGCATCCAGTACTACAAAGCATTGCATGGAGTTGAGACTTCTTCCTTGGATGTTGCTATATGGATTCAATATAATTTTGTCAAGTGAAATAACCACAAGAATCTAAAATAATCTGCTTTCTTTTCAGATTTTATTACTATGTAAAGCAGCAAATTTCAGGTTTAAACTTATATCTGGAGACAAAATAGGAAAAAAATTGCATTCTTTACAAATAACTTACAAGATAAGGAAGGCTCAAAACTAAACGATGGAAGATGGAAGTACATTGTTTTCTTGATTATGTGAAAATGAAACCTTAAACGGCCCATTTATTTACAAATCCAGGAATCAAAAAGTAATGTTGAGATTTTTATGAGCTTGCCTCATACAGCTCTCCTTTAAGTGACTCTGAATATGCTGCTCTACATCTTTAATGCTATGTTAGGGTACAGAGGAATTTTTCACAAGAACAGTCACTCTAAAAAGCTGTAATCTTGGGTGTGGGTGTTTGCTCTATTGTAGAAAATTCTGTGACATTTATATTCTGTGGAAATCCTTGTTAGAAAATCCTGAAAAATATTAATGACAATTAGAACTACCTAGTTGCTGTGTCAGCTTGTCACTTCAACTTGGTTTATTTCAGGATTGTAGAAACGTAAAGGGTAAACTCAGTTTTCTTCTTCACATAATTTTTTCATGTTTCCCGGGTTTTCAGTTTGTCATGTGTGTTCTGTCCCTGAGTTGTCTGTGTAATTCCTCCTCTCCCCAGCACTCTCTCACAACTGTTTTACTGATCCTTTATTCTGCCTCAGACCTTGGATCTATCATCATTCTTAGCCTGTGTGCCTATAAATGATAAGTGAATTACCCCACAGTGCTTTATAGCATGGCTGTAGTATGATTCATATTTCCTCTCGTAGCCAGGCCAGTTTAAACTTTTCCTTAAACAGATCTGGCTGAAAAAATAATCCAGCCAAATACCCTAGGGTTAACTTGGCTCAATATGTGAATACAGCTTACTGTGTGGCCACAGGAACAGTTATCCTGGAACAACTGAAGGGATGTATCTGGGGAAAGAACAGTAATGAGGACCAGCAGTAGCTGAAAATGTTCATCAGTCTGCCTTCAGTCAGGTTGTCTACTGAACTGCAACTGTGACCCTTAGCCAGAACAGTGCAGTCAACAGTTGTGTGTTCTAAGAGTGATCTTCATGCTGTATTTTCGGCTCTGGCATGCCAGCTTTGTTTATAACCTTCTGCAAGTCATTTGCACTCTGTCGTTTTAATCTGTAAAACTGCAGTAATTAATTTCTCAATAGGACATGGCTATGGCAGTGCTTTTACTAGTGGAGAATGCTACTGTCAGGACACAATGAAATGACACAATAAATAATGAGCACTAGATATATTATAGAATTATATAATAGAATAGGTAGCATGGGGAGGTCTCTGCAGAATGGTTAGTTGTGTATATTATTTAATGCTTTTGTCAGCTTCAGTGATTTCTGCCTTTCCGTCTCCTGACATCTTATTCCTGCTTTGCCTGTATCCATTTGGAGGGGACAATTCAGTCGTCAGATGAGAAAAAAGAATACCTTTTTTGGTCACATTACTTTTCAGCTGAATCAGCTACTTGACCTGCCTTACTATACAGCCTACTAACAACTATTGTAAAACTGAGAGCGGCACAAAAACGGATCTAGACATTTGGAAGCAAGAGCTGTATATGCTGCTGATATCAAGAGCTGTGCCCAAGCTGAAATAACTGAAGTATGAACTTTTAAATGTGGGAAAGCAACCACAGAGTTAAAAATATGTCACATATCTGTTCTTTCATCAAACATCATATCCTGAAGACCAGAATTGCACCCTAATATGTAATAACCTGTTTCTGTGCCTGCTACTGGTGCCAAATAAAGGTTGCCATAGACCTGCCAGTTTATTTTTAAAATGGTTGGTCTCTAAGTAGCTGTAAATAAGACTAATCAAGATGGAGATTTTTAATCACCTTTCATCCTTCAGTAGATTAAGCAATATGTCCATACTAAACTTGATCATTATCCAGAAATAATTTATGGAGCACACATGACTGAACATTGAAACTGGGCCAAATATTGTAGTAATTGCTGGATAATCCTATGTTTTCTGGTTTGTCAGAGCTTCTTTAGAGACTGCAAGGTCTGCTTGGTTTATTTGATCACTATGCAGTTGCTTTTTAGAAGTCTAGTAATTTCTAAATTACTACTGTTCTGTGTATATATCTGTGGTGGGTTGGCTCTGGCTGGAGGCCAGGTGCTCAACAAAGCCGCTCTGTCACTCCTGTCCTCAGCTGGATAGGGGACAGAAAATATAACAAAAAGCTTGGAAGCGGAGATAGGGGCAGGGAGAGATCTCACAACAATTACCATCATGGACAAAACAAACTCAATTTGAGGAAAATTGATTTATTATCAATGAAATCAGAGCAGGATAATGAGAAAATAAAAGCCAAGTCTTAAAACACCTTCCCCCACCGCTCCCTTCTTCCAGGGCTTAACTTTACTCCCAGTGTGTTCTGTCTCCTACCCTGTGAGCAGCGCAGGGTGATGGGGAATGGGGTTGTGGTCGTATCTGCTGCTCCGTCTTCCTCAGGGGAAGGATTCCTCACACTCTTCCCCTGCTTCAGCGTGGGATCCTTTCCATGTGAGACAGTTATCCATGAACTTCTTCAGAGTGAGTCCTTACCACAGGCTGCAGTTCTTCACAATCTGCCCTAGCGTGGGTCCTCCCGCAGGTTCACAAGTCCTGCCACCAAACCCACTCCAGGTCAGAAGGCTTACCCAGGCAAAAACACAAAAAGCTTTTTTCCAAGTTAATGATTTTTTAATAAGCTCATGAAGGTGTTTGCCAGTCAGAGAGAGAAGGTCTGCGCAAGTGTGGGGAAGAAGGAAAGGGTGAAGAAGCAAGTTTTCTCCTGTGTGGTGTCACTACACCATTGTATTTGTTCAACTGTTGATGAAATCTCGGCTTCAGCTTGTGCACAGTTGAACTCAGAAACTGTTCTGAGCTTTATTTGGGCTTAAATTTAACCTGAAAGCCAGAGGTTTCAATGAATAATGAAGATTTGGCACTGTTTTCTGTAACTTTGTAGAACATAAAATTACTCAGGAATGATTATTATTACTTTTTACTTTTAAAAAAGTTTTCACAATCTACAAGAGTAGTAATCTTTATATTTTTGTTCTCTGTCTCTTTTCTCCAGTCAAGGTCTCTTGCCCTGCAGGACATTTTGTGAGGAAGCAAAAGAAGGCTGTGAACCAGTCCTTGGTATGGTAAATGCTTCTTGGCCGGAGTTCCTGAAGTGCTCTCAATTCCAAAACAAAACTGAAAATGACACAACTACAAGGGTATGCTTCTCACCACACCAAGAAAAAGGAAAGCAGTGTAAGTTTCCCTTCTTAATGATTATGTCATGTTCATGACTTTCTATTTAATAATGTATTTTTATTGTGTAGGAAAATCTCTGGGATGAAATTATTATTTCTAGTTCTGTTACTATGCTCCTTCACATTACTGTGATAATGTCAGGTTGTCAGCTGGTTATAGTCTTGCTGTGCTGTAATTTTTTGAGGCTTGGTTTTTTGTTTTTTGTTTTTTTTTTGACAGGCTGAGAAAGTTGGGGCTGTTCAGCCTGGAGAAGAGAAGGCTGCGTGGAGACCTCATAGCTGCCTTCCAGTATCTGAAGGGGGCCTATAGGGATGCTGGAGAGGGACTCTTCATTAGAGACTGTAGTGATAGGACAAGGGGTAATGGGTTAAAACTCAAACAGGGGAAGTTTAGATTGGATATAAGAAGGAAATTCTTTCCTGTTAGGGTGGTGAGGCACTGGAATAGGTTGCCCAGGGAGGTTGTGAATGCTCCATCCCTGGCAGTGTTCAAGGTCAGGTTGGACAAAGTCTTGGGTGACATGGCTTAATGTGAGGTGTCCCTGCCCATGGCAGGGGGGTTGGAACTTCATGATCTTAAGGTCCTTTCCAACCCTAACTATTCTATGCTTTTTTCCACACTTGTATTGATTTGAGGCTTTTTTTTCTTTGCATCAAAAATTCTGAGCTGTTTCAAGTAAAAAAGGTAGGAGAAGAGTAACATGCCCTTTAAAAACATTCTGCTAACTTTTTCTTTGCTAAGCTCTAGTAAATACAGGATTGTTATTTGGAGCAGAAACCTTATACACAGCCCAAATTTCTAGTGTATTCCTTTTCTCTTGTTATGAAAATGAGCCCAGAGCTGTTTGAGATGTAAACTTTTTAAAAATTGTAGTTTGTATGCATCCACTCATGGAATCATTTAGGTTGGAAAAGGTCCTTAAGAACGAGTCCAGCCATTAACCCAGCACTGCCAAGTCCACCATTAAACCATGTCCCTACTCACATCTACATGTTTTTTAAATACCTCCAGGAATGGAGACTTAACCACGTCCTTGGGCAGCCTATTCCAATTCTTGACAACCCTTTTGGTGAAGAAGTCTTTCCTAATATCCAATCTAAACCTCTCCTGGCACAACTTGAGGCTGTTTCCTCTTATACTATTGCTTGTTACTTGGGAGAAGAGACTGACCCCCAGCTCCTTACAACCTCCTGTCAGGTAGCTGTAGAGAGCAGTGAGTTCTCTGCTAAGCCTCCTTTTCTCCAGGCTAAACAACCCCAGTTCACTCGGCCATTCCTCATCAGAATTGTGCTCCAGAGCCTTCACCAGCTTCATTGTCCTTCTCTGGACCTGCTCCAGCACCTCGGTGTCTTTCTTGTAGTGAGGGGCTCAGCACTGAACACAGTACTTGAGGTGCAACCTCACCAGTCCTGAGTACAGGGGGATGATCACTGCCCTGGCCCTGCTGGCTGTGCTATTGCTGATACAGGCCAGGATGCTGTTTGCCTTCTTGGCTCCCTAGGCACAGGATGAACATTACAGGAATTAGGACTACAGTAATTTTGTCTTCATGACAGGTTCAAATGACAGATGAAGAGGCTGTAGCATAAATATGTAAGTGTGGTAAGGGGTTGTACATTGGACAATGAGAGTGACTAGTACTGAGTGTGCTGGTACTGGGCACAGAATTATTATGAAAGAGCAACAGCACATTAGAAACCTGAGCTTCATGAATGTGTGATACACTGACTGAATTCAAGGTATGATATAAATGTGCATGTTAAATTCTGACAGACTGCAGCTGGCCAAAGTGTTCAAAAGCCCCACCAGATCTAGAGAGCTGAACTCTAAGGTCAAGCCAGAAGAGACTGCTGACTTCTGAAACTTTCAAGATTCAGAATATCTTCTAGCTAAAATCATATATTTAATATTCCTAGAGAAGAAGTTTGTTAGATTAGTGCATGGTTCTTCCATAATCTGTATGGTAGGATTTGTTTCTGTCTGGTAGTGAACTGCATCAATTACAGAAAAGTACACAGTGGGAGCTTGCTATTTCTCACTAGAGGAAAATAATCTAATGCCAGTTGTGACATTCACTGCTCCTACTTGGCAGACTGTGGAGACCCAGACCCTTTATTGGCAGTTTTGACATCGTGTTGTATAAAGCAAAAGACATTTTAAATTCATTTCTTCATGAACTATTGCGCATGATGCTTGGATGTGAATAGTTTTCATGTGGAATCATAAGCTGTAGATAATATGTCTACTTTTTTATTTAAAAGAATGGTTTAAAAGAATGGCTTCTTTATGACAGAAAAATGTGAGAGTCCAGATTTGAGAGGCTGCTTCTCTTACAGAAATAAATTATGTTGTGGTTGAATATTTCGCTGCAGCTTGTATATTTGAAAAAAATTACTTCTCTGAACACAGTAGAACCAAACAGCAGGGATCGGTTCATTGTTCCAATCCCTTTTTACCTAGTGCTCAGCCCAAAGAGCTCTTCACACTCTTCTCAGGGCTTAGTTCTTGGAAATTTCAAGAGCATGTCCTTGGCATATGGCTGCTTATGTCTCAACTTCGTGATTTCTTTTGGGGATAATGCTTCCAGATTACATGCAGTGAAGTCCTCCCTGACCACATATGCCTGGCATATAATTTGTTTTTTTTGATGATGTGATTATCTTTTTAGGGCTGTCCTGGGTTCAGCTGTAACAGTTATTTTTCTCCTTAGTAGCTGGTGCAGTGCTGTGTTTTTGACTTTAGTCTGAGAACAATGCTGATAACACACTGATGGTTTTAGTTGTGCTTTAGTTGGATAAGGGCTGTAGTTATTTCTTGTGTTTATTGAAAATAAGGTCTCGCTGCTGTACCTTCTTGTTTTAGCACAGTGTCACTGAATCAAAAAGAAATTTTTTCTCTTGATTATTTTTGTCCAGTTGTAACTAAATACTCTCTATCTTCCACATTTTCTGAAAAGAAAATTATTACTTCTCAAAAAAATCCTTGAACTTCACATGCCTTTCCAAGCTCTGTTGGAGAATCATAGGATAACAGGTTGGAAGGGACCTCACAGATCATCCGGTCCAACCTTTCTAGTCAAGGCATGACCTAGACTAGATGTCCCACCACCCTGTCCAGATGAATCTTAAAAGTCTCCAGTGTTTAGGAATCCACCATCTGAAGAGATTATTCTAATGGTTGATAGTTCTCATTTTGAAAAATTTTCCTCTTGTGTCCAGTTGGAATGTCCACAGGGGTAACTAATCTTTTCCATGTGACTCCTTGTAATGTGTGTTTGAGTGATGATTCCAGAGCATTTACCCTGGAGACAATTACCAGCTCTCCTGAAAAATGTTAGAATTAGTTAGAATTGGGATTATCTAGTGGATACATGCTTGTTCATGTGTCACTGCTGGTATTTATCTCTTTGTCTAAATTTTTCCTCCAAAGGCACTGCAAATCAAGTGCGCATTACCACTACGGAGAAACTATAATGGCATGCATTCCTGATGTGACCACAGATGTACTGAATGTACTGGAAAATCTAAACCATGTGCATTATAGTAAAACCATCTGAGTGTACAAAACGAGTCACAGAGAAAAAGGTACAGTTTTGTAAACAGGGCTGCATCAGTCAGGTTGATATACTTTCACACGTGACAAGTGAATACCCAGGAGGTGAGAAAATCAGCTACTCTGAACATAGTTTTAGGAATCCATCTGTTGAGATATGGTAGATGGTTGAACTGGTTTCACAGTTCCAATTAGCTGTGAACATATAAGGGAGTGAGGAAAAAGCATCATCAGTCATTCATTCTACATGCATCCAATAATGCATTTTAGGGGGATAAATCTCAGAAACCTTCCTGGGGGCTGCTGTCCATATCCATGTGCTGTACTCCCCAGCTAGATTACTGGAATGCCATCTACAGAAGATTGTGCAGCCAGGTCCCTGGAAAGCCTCAGATAGCACAGGCTGAAATAAACATATTGTTCTACCATCCTCAAGATTGACTTCCCGTTGTATTTCAAGATATAGCAACAGATAAAACACTGTATATCTCTGAAAATGACGATGAAAAGTGCTACTAATTTTTTTTAAGTGAAGACAGTCTCTGTCTCACGCTATGAAATAACTAGGAGGTATCAAATAAAATCGCCTTTAGAACAACCAAAACATGGTACTCTTCATACAGTGCATAGGTAAGGTGTAACACTTTATAACATGCTAAAATGTACATAGATCCATGAAACAAAAGGACACATTAACAGATGAAAGATCTATGGTTGGTCACAAACTACAGCAAGTCTTTGACTCTCAGATGGAAAAAGCAGGAGTATTTTGGAAAAGTATTGTGACATAGCCTTGCCCTGTTCTATTCTTCACTTGGCATCTGATTTTAGCAGTTTCTGGAGGCAGCATTAGGAAATAAATAGGACTTTTCATGTGATTCAACACAGCCACAATAGCACAGTGGGACATGGAGGAATTCCTGTATTCTTTTGCCTGCAAATTTTCATCACCTGCTCCCTATACCCTATGTACTCTGTGGCACAGTATATGCATCTTGTAGCTGTCAATTCTAAAATGTTCTTATACTAGGATCACAATCAGAGAATTAGGAAAGTTGGCAACTCCTTCACCCCAGGAAACTTTCCATTTCTCTGTTTCCTTATGATGCAATGCCCTGTGGGAAAAACAACACAAAAGACCTTTCACTTCCATTGAAGTTAAGGGTCCTAAAACGGACACATGGGAAACTCCAAGCTAGAAAAGAAACAGGCAAAGAATCAGAAAGCAGGCAGAGGTAATGGATGGGGGAAGCAGAATGGGAGGAAACATAAAATTAAGGGACATTATAAAATATAATATGGAGTTATTAGTTAAGAATGAGTGCTTGAGGAAAATAGTTTTTTCAGCTCTTGACTGTTTTCTCATATGGACCACAACCACAATCCTGAAAAAGATTTTGTCTCCTGCAAAAAGTTACTCCACAATTTCTGGTTTTGAAGCTGATTGGTATCAATGTTCACATACACAGGTAAGCTCTCTCTTCTTTCCACTGCATTAAGTGGAATGCAGGGCATATTGACTACAATTTTTCAAGTGTGACCATCCAGCAAATTCTTTATCCACCGAGTGGTCCACCTGTCAAATCCATGCCCCTCCAGTCTAGGATGCTGTGGAGGACACTGTCAAATGCCTTGCACAAATCTATGCAGATACACAGGTGGCTCTTCCCTTATCCATCAATGCTGTAACCCTGCCATAGAAGGCCACCAAATTTGTCAGGCACAATTTGCCCTTAGTGAAGCCATGTTGGCTGTCATCAGTAACCTCCTTATTTTCCATGTATCTTAGCGTAGTTTCCAGAAGGAAACTGCTCCATCATCTTGCTGGGCTCTGAGGTGAGACTCACTGGCCTGTAGCTCCCCACATCTTCATTTTTCCCCTATCTAAAAATGGGCTTATTTTTCCCCTTTTCCAGTCAGTGGGAACTTCACCAGACTTCCACAGCTTCTCAAATATGATGGCTTGGCACATTCATCTGCCAGTTCCTACAGGACCTGCGGTTGCATCTCATTGGGTCCCATGGACTTGTATACCTTCAGATTCCTGAGATGATCTCAAAACTGATTTCCTACAGCAGGTGGTTGTTTATTCTCCAAAGTGCCTGCCTTGGGCAGTGTGGCTAGAGCTCCTGATAGTGAAGACCAAACACAGAAAAGCCACCTAATGCCTCGGTCTTCTCCATGTCCTGGGTGACCAGGTCTTCTGTTTCCTTACGGAATGGGCCCCCGCTTTCCCTAGTCTTCCTTTTATCCCCAGTGTACCTGCAGAAGTTTTTCTTGTTGCCCTTGACATCCCCAGCCAGATTTGATACTGTCGGGGCTTTAGCTTCCCTAACCTGATCCCCGGCTGCTCAATTTCAATTTTTAATTTTTCTTAAAATTCCTTCTGATTTCTGCTGGGTATGAAAACTGAGAGAAGGAAAAACTGATTTAATTCTTCCTTTTGTTTGCATATAACACACAAGATAAGTAGAAAGATGCTCACTTTAAGTAAGAAGAAATGGAGAAGTAGATTGTGATGGAGTAAGAATGGATAGGAGCAGAATAGGATAGAGATGTATTAGGAGAGGAGAGTCAGAATGGTTTATAAGTGCTAGAACATACTTTTGTTCACAGCCCAGAAATGAATATAGGACTCTGGAATCTTTGCTTTTCTGATCTATAGGAAAAATGGACAGATAAAATACCTTTCCTGTTTTTTACCTTTGTTCTCCCAGGCCAAGTTGGCATATTTAGGTCTAGAAGGTAGAAGCCTGTTACGGCTGCTCTCTTAGTACCAGTGAAGATCTGTACTGATGGAGATCTGTAAGCAAATCAAGATGGTTCCTTTAATTGTTTCTTTTTGATCTATTTATGCTGTTTTCTTTTCCAAACATGCAGGAAATTGTATAGAAGCCTGAGTTAGAAGAATGTAAGATTTCCAAGTCAGTTAAAAGTTGCCTTTCCAATCTCAGAGAGCTTTTCTTGTATGATGAATTACAATCTTCTGATTGTGTTATCATATTCTATTTTTACATGACATCATTGTCTGTGGGATAAATGCTGGTCTACAGGGAACTAGAGCCCATACTGAGGAAGGCTATTTTTGTTAGGGCCTCCTACAGGGCTTACTGATTGTAGCAATTGGAAAATGCAATGCCTAAGACTGAGCTGAAGAAACAAAAATATCAGCTCATAATAAAGAAAACATGATGTTATATTATAGAATGAGACTCTTTCCCTGTCACTGTTGCAGGGACCTATAATGTTGAGCAAGGCACTGGAATAAAAATTTTCTTAACTGTTGCTTGTATACTTTCAGTTAACTGGACTCTTCATTTGTATTGCCTGGATTTATTTGTAATTGAAATGTGCTCTTGCAGCTACAAGCAAAGGTAATAGGAGCTATTCTTTGAACGTGTAAAATGCCACGAGAGTCTTTACTCTCCAGGAACAAAGACTATTACACCTGTTAAATCTGCCTGCCCTTGGGACTAAAGAAGCAGCCCTTATTGGACCTACAAAAAGTATAATAATTTCTCATCACAATCTTTCTTTGAGTATAGCAATGTGATATTCTTCACAAATTACAGAATCTCTTGGTGAACTGATGCTGTGATGTACCACTGAGCACTGGATATGCTTAAACATGCAGAGTGTGTTTTTCAAAAGTGACAAATAGCTCCAGCCTGCACTGACCCCATGTGCAATTAGTTATTCAGATTACCAATTTTAGCTGTGGTCCTAGCATAGCAGTCCTTTCTATTGCACTATGGCAGTGGACACACACACACTCTCTCAGCACATTAAGTTTTGGCAGCAGGGGATTATTGCTTTTCAACACATATATGTGCTTTTCTAAGCCTAAAATATTATTTTATCAATTTTTCATCCAAAGAAACAGAAATCTTAGACTTAGTCAACTGACACACACATCCTTGTATGAAAAATGTGTTTGTAGCAGAGCTGGCCCCAGACACAGCAAAGTGATGATCCGGGTCTTTGATCTAATCAGAGAACCTAGTCAGGAGACAGGGCCAGAGACAGGACTGGTGACAAGGTTCCAACGTGACTCCAAGCCTACTTGGGAACCAGGGCCAAAGTTAGGGCTGCAGGCCAGCTAGAGTGTCTATATGAGATATCTATCAGGAGCTGGAGCTGGATGTAAGGCTGTGTCTACAGTAGTGGTCAGGCAGGGCTTGAGTGAGAGTGTTGGTGGAGGCCCCAGGTGAGGGGGTCATTCAAAGCCAGTCAAGGCTTATTGGTGCACTCATTGTTCTGGCTTTCACCATCTTTATAATTCTATTCTTCTGAAGACATATAAAATGACATTACTTGTATGTTCTGGGTTACTTCACAACAGGCTGTTCTGTTGGAAGAGATTAAAAAGAACTTTCCCTCCTTTTGTAAGTCAAAGTGCCTCCAGAAAAGGGAGTTTAAATGGAATGTCAGCAGTGTGTTAGTTTAGGACTGAACTTTAACTTAAGCTCTGTTTTTGTTTGCCCAAGAATGTGCTTACTCTTTACAATGAAGTATTATTCACAATAATGTATTGATTAAGTCCTTATACTATGAATTCTACTGAGTACAGAACCAAGTAAAATGTTGACACAAATATCATCATAGTCATTGATTTATTAATGGCTTAATCTGAAATTTATGGAGTGCGTTACCTTTGTGCTATCATTTACTGCAGTGCCAAATTGAGGTCATAAAAGCTAATGCTACTAAAAAATCTGTAATTGCATATTTGGTTATTTTTCCTTAATTTTAAACTGTATTCTGCATGAATATGCATGTTGATAGATATTTTATGAGGAATACACAATTATGATGAGAATACTCAATATTCATTTTTTAGTTTTGACATGAAGATTATAATTATACTTTCCAGACTTTGTTAAGGCTCAGGTTCAGAGAATAAGGGAGGAAAAATATGAACCAAATTCTCCTATAGGAATAGGAAAATGCAAATTTAGGCATTTTAAAATGGGAAAATTAGAGTTATGTTGTGGTCAGGGAGGAAGTGATTCTATTGCGGCTGCTGAAAATGATGGTTTTTCATACCTGTGATTTGCATTGTGGTCAAGTTTGAAAGCTACAATTAGAAATTTTTATTGTCCTTGGAATACTTAGATACAAAGTTTGAATTACAATGAAATTTCTATGAGTAGAATTTTGAACTTCCATGAGATTTTGTTGTTTGAACTTGCTGTTCTCACACATGGATATATTTACTAACTTTACATTGGCAGAGTGACAGGATTTTTTTCCTCCATCTCTAAAAGCCATTTCTCATTTCCGGTATGTATGCTTGGAGTAAAATTAGTGGGTTTGGGGTTTTTTCACTGATCTTTTACAAGAGGTGAAACTCTGGTTTGTTCAGCTTTGTTGAGTAGCCTGACAGTTAACTCTGGCTTTTGGAAAAAAACAAACCAAACTAAACCCAAACAAAACCCACAACCAAGTTTTGTACTGAATATTTGCTTTTGTACTTGCCATCTTTACTTTGCATCCCCATGTATGTCTGTATGCTTTACAGGGACTTTTCTCAGCCAGGGTTTTGTTTTGTTTTTTCAGGCAAAGGCTTAGAAGTTTGGTCTGTATTGCATAGACTAAGGTGTAAACAAATTAATGGTGGTCTGCATCCCTGTATTTTAAGTGCCTTGAAGGACTTGAATGGGAAGGCACTTACGAGTTCCCTCCCTCTGAACATAATGGCCCTGCAAGGCATTTCCAGTGGGAAACCTAAAGCTGTAAGGGGAAGTTGTCTCTTTGGATATCTTAATTCCTCATATATCTAATAGCAATAATGACTGTCTTCTGGTGTTCAGAGAATTATAAGAATGAGGAATCCTTTACCTCTAGAAAGATGTCTGCGACACTGTTAGGTCTTTACCTGGTAATCTTTTGCCAAAACATTTAGGCTGGGAAGATCCATCTGTTGTAACTGTAGTTGGATATTTAATCTGGTGCATCTCTTTAATTAAAAAAAACCAAACACACCAACAACCAAAACCAAACCCCAGAGCTTCTTTAATCTCATCCTATGGTCATTTTTTGACAGTTACTCTGTACAGCAGCCTTTTAGAGGTAATGGTAGATTGAACCTCACTGATTAACTCAGCCTAGATAGCTATTTTTGAAATATCAAGAATTAGATGAAAATGCCAGTTTGCACTTGCTTGAATTTGATTAATTTGGGGTTTGTTTCTTAAGAGCCTTGATTAAGACTCACTGTTCTAGCCATCTTTCTTTTCTGCTTATTTCTTCTTACCCTGAGAAATTTAACACACATTCTTTGTTTTCTTCTCTTTTGCAGCACTGTGTGGAGGAGAAGAGAGTTTCCTGTGTGCCAGTGGAATCTGCATCCCAGGGAAACTGCAGTGTAATGGCTACAATGACTGTGATGATTGGAGTGATGAGGTCCATTGCAGTAAGTTTGTTAAACCTTGCACTATTCCACTGAAGCAGTGAATTCCTTCAGGGAAACCTAAAAGCTGTTTCTCTTGGTACAGAATGGGAGCTTTGCATAGTATTTGAGCACAATTGGTATTTAGACTCTCAGTTGCCATTGAATGCGTTTACCTTTGCTCACTCTATTTGTGTATTTTTACACATGTAAATACTCAAAAAACACAAAAAATACTCAGCATGTGTTTTTTATCTAACAAATTTTATGCCTAGTAGGAGATTCTAAGATTTCTGCAAAAAGCCATGAGAAAATTATGGAGTATTTGGGGCTTTTTATTTTGTTTTATTTTATTTTTTTTAATGGATCAAAAATATGTATCAGAAGAGCACTTCTGATAATAAACTGAAGACTGTCAATTGTATCTTTTTCCCAGTACTTGGCATTGATTTTGGGGCAGATGCAAAATCATCTGTTTAGAAAGTTATCTTGGTCTCAACCCTGGATGTGGTTTATTTAAATAAATCCTAGTATATGGTGCAGTAGAAAAGAAAATACATGCTTAGTACCTCAATTTCTTATTTATTTCCCTGTGGTACTGTGTATCTTTAGAGCTCCCATGTGTTTTCTGTGTTGACAAAAACATCCTTTGGACAAAAACAAGCCTTTAGAAAAGCTCAGGAAATGTACAGTAGGAAAACAATGAAAAGGGAAAAAAAGAAAAGGAAACAAAAAAGGAAAATGTGGCATAATGACTGAATAGGGACTATAGTAGGACATGATTGCACAAAACAGCACTGTGCATTCAGACTTTGGAAAATGTCAGACCTGGGGTTGAGTTCCAGGCTCTGCAGTTTGGGCTGTCCCCAAAAGATTTGTTCATATTGGTGATTTAAGAACCTGGGCATTCCAAGACTCACAAATCTGCTTTTGAGGAAGTTGCTGATAGATTTTATCTGGAATACTCCAAGGAATAAATGATGGCTGCAATTTCCTCCTGGTCTCAATATGAGTAAGTCTAGAGCTTGCTTTATCTTTAATAGCCTATAATTTATTTAATGGAGGTTGATATAATTTTGATGACATAAAAAATACGGTATGTTTTTATCTGAATTTTTCCTGTCAAGTTTTTAATGTAAGCTAAAAGAGTAAAAAATGCCTATGAGACTGTGTCTCTTGAGTTCCATTAGAAATGGGAAAAGAAGAAATTGGTAATATAACAATAAAATTATTACAAGCATTACAAATTTCATAAGTTAAGATTACCTCTAAAAGAAAGCCTGTGTGTTAAATGCTACAGGGTTTATAGGCAGAGGATGTCTTTTATTAGCAGTTGGTGAGAGGGAGTGGAGGTCAAATAAGACCATCTTGAATTACACAGCAGAAATAGCAAAACTGAAGGGTGACTTATTTGCCTGAAATCTTGTCTGATAAAACATGCTGTGTTTCCAGCAGCCCTTGCCTCTCTTAAATTCTTGAGTTACTCCACAGAATAGTTTGGGTTGGAAGGGACCTTTATTGGTCCTCTAATCCATCCCCTGCAATAAGCAGGGGTGTCTTCATCTAGATCAGGTTGCCCAGAACAACATCCAGCCTGGCCTTGAATGTCTTCAGGGGTGGCATATCTGCCACCTCTCTGGGCAACCAGTTCCAGTATTTTACAACCCTCACTGTAGAAAACTAGGGGGTTGGACTAGGTGACCTTTGAAGATCTCTTCCAGCCCTAGCTATTGTATGATTCTATGCTGTGGTTGCAGCACTCTTCGTCACTTGTGCTCCCTAGGCTGGCTTTTTATTGGGGGTTGGCTGTGCTTTCGCTGTGCTTTCGCTGGCAATGCTCAGGCATCAGTCAGCATCTCCTGCGAGAGCTACTGGCTCCTGGCAGGTCTCTGCTCCCCTGGTGTTTCTCTGCCTCAGGAAACCTCCCTATGTGCCAAGGTCTACCACTCCACTGTGGATGAGGCCAGCTCTGGAGCAGCTCATCTCAGTGATTGACCACAGTTAGAGGAACATTTGTACCAAAACTTATTAAGACATGGAAATACACCATTAAGATGCTCAGAACAACATCTTTGCTGTTATGGTGTACTGTTTCTTTTTGTTGCCAAGTAATAATCCTAAAATGTTTTTGGCACAGCAGTGTTTTATTCCTGGTTTAAATTAAACACACTTTTAAAGTTGTGTTATTTGGAATATTTGGTTTGTTTTTTATCTTCCCTCTTCAGAGTGCTATGAAGAAGAGATTTTTGAGCATCCTGGCAGTTCATATCCCCTTTTATGACAAAGGGCACAGCCACATGGGAAGGCAGCTATGTTCTTGGTCCCATTGGAATTAAGAGGTTTCTTCTTCCACTGAGTTAAAAAAAAGCACAATTACTAAACTTCCATTAATGAAAAATACATGGCAAAAATTACTATTAACCATAAAAATACATTTTCTTCAGGTCCAGGCAGTGTATGCAAGTTATAAGTGTATGAGTAGTTAGAGGAGTCTGTCATCTTTGGCAGTGTTCAAGGCCAGGTTGGACAGGCCTGGTCTAGTGGAAGGTATCCCCGCCTGTGAATGGGGGGCTAGAACTAGATGATCCTTTCCAAACCTAATCATCCTATAATTCCTATAGGAATCATTATAAATAACTGAAGGTTATAATGAATTCATCATTAATTTTATTAAATTACTAATTTTTTCATTCTTAAAACACTTGTCCTTCAATCAAAGTATAGGCCGTCAAATTTAATTCTTGTCCTAGGTTTATTCATAAGTTATTTCAGTTCAGTTTGAAGATAGTTCAATAACTTTAGCAGTGACTGGCATTTCCATAATAATGAGAACATTCAGTACTCCACAGAATGTAGTTGCTATTCACCATTATACAGTTGGCAATATCTGAGAAAGAAAACAGAATTCTGAATTTTTAGTCTTTGTTCTATTTTGTATAAACTGAACTGTGACTGTTAGTGCTTACACACAGCTTGCCAGTGTTTAGTGGGATTGAGAACAACACACAGAAAAGTTGTTCCCTTCTTATGAAGTCCAAACTGTATTTGCTTATAGGAAAGTTTTGCTCAGCATGGAATGAATTTTTTTTTTCAGATTTTGTTGTTAGCCGTGAGGATGGGGGTAATATAGAACATATGAAACAAAAGCAGCAAATTTAGCGTAGAGTAAGCAACATGAATACACTGAAGAGGATAACTAGGTGTAAACATACGGCTCACTTCTAGACTGATTTCTGCTCCATTGGTTGCTGGGAGCTGTTTTGTCTGCACGAAACAAAGACTGTGGGTAATATAGATGGAGAAAAATATTTGGACTCTGTGTTCTAGCAAACAAACTTACGTAGCAATAGGCAGTTTAAGACCAAAAATTACACAGAAAGGCAAGTATTTCTGCTGCTTGAGTCTTGTGAAGAGACCACACGAGACTCCTCATGTTGGCCAGTACAGTGAGGAGAATCTTCTTGTCACAGTTACTTCCCAATGAGATTAAAAGGCTCTTAAACTTAAAAGGCCAAGCTTTATTAGAACGTAAAAGAAAAAAAATAACCCTCTAAGAGGAAAAAAAGAAAACCCTTTACAAAAGAAAACTGAAAGAATCAGAATAGAAATGGAGTTGCAGACAAAACTGCCTTTGCTGACTGTGGCCTTGAAGGTTGGGTCTTTGGGCTTGGTTTCAGTTAACTCAAGAACTTTCTTTTTTCTCAGCGTATTTGGTTTTGTTGTTTTTTTTTCCCTCGGTAAATTTCTTTATCACAGTGGAGCCCTGCCCATGTGTTTATTTCCTGTTCTTTCCAGCTCTGTTTCAGTCTCTGATGTGCTAGTTTTACTTGTTGAACTCTCACTCTGCCTCCTCTGCTCTGTAAATGCTGTAACATAATATAGAGTTGCATGCAAACAGGTAAGTTTCTCAGGGATGACAATAATGGTGCTGATAATTTGGGGGCAGAAATAGATTTCTCTCAGCTGCACACTGTATTTGAGTTACAATAATTCACTCTGATATATGTTAATGAGAGGGGTTGAAAATTGAGGCAGATTGAAAACTGGATGAATGGTTAGGCCCAGAAGGTAGCAATCAGAGGCATGAACTTTACGAATTGCAATATGATATGTACAACAATCTGATATAAATTATTTAGCTTCATGTTTTGCTTGAAATCAAACAATTCAAATTAATCATTGTTTCTGTAGGAAATAAATGTAACAAAACTGAATGGGTAACCTCAGCAAGAAGAAAGGCCATATGTATCCTTAAAAACCTATTTTGCTCATTTGCACTCAATCTCATTGATTTAATTGTCTCACCCCTAGTATATAAACAAGTGGTCTGGCCAGAATAACTTGTCTGACAGCAAAACCCACTAGGCTTTTGTGTGCTCATAATGTTTTGTTTGGCAGCAACAGTTTACTCTTATGACAAACATTTTACAGTCTTAACAACCCTGTATCACCTGGGTTGTTGTTGATCTTTGGGTTGACTGGGGTCTCAATTTGAAGATGACACTAAATTGGGTGTTAGTGTTAATCTGCTTGAGTGTAGGAAGGCTTCTTGGAGGGATCTGGACTGATGGGCTGGATTGATGGGCTGAGGCCAATTGTGTAAAATTCCCTAAGGTTACATGCTGGGTCCTGCACTTGGGTTACAACAACCCCATGCAGTGTTACAGGCTGGGGAAAACTGCCCTGCAGAAAAGGACCTGGGGGTATTGCTCAGCAGCTGCTGAACATGAGCCAGCTTGTACCCAGGCAGCCAAAAAGGGAAACAGCATCCTGGCCTGTATCAGCAATAGCATAGCCAGCAGGGCCAGGGCAGTGATCATCCCCCTGTACTTGGCACAGGTGAGGCTGCACCTCAAATCCTGTGTTCAGTTCTGGGCTCCTCACTACAAGAGAGACATTGAGATGCTGGAGTGGATCCAGAAAAGGGCAACAAAGCTGATGAAGGGTCTGGAGCACAAGTCTGATGAGGAATGGCCAAGGGAACTGGGAGTATTTAGTCTGGAGAAGAGAAAGCTCAGGGGGACCTCACTGCTCTCTACAACTACCTGACAGGAGGTTGTACTGAGGTGGGGTTGGTCTTTTCTCCCAAGTAGCAATCCAAGACGAGGAAACAGCCTCAAGTTGTGCCAGGAGACGTTTAGATTGGATATTAGGAAAGATTTCTTCACCAAAAGGGTTTTCAAGAATTGTAACAGGCTGCCCAGGGAAGTGATTGTGTCACCATACCTGGGAGTATTTATAAGACATGTGAATGTGGTGCTTAGGGATGTGATTTAGTGGTGCACTTAGCAGTGCTGGGTTAACGGTTGTACTTGATGATTTTAAGGGTCTTTTCCAACCTAAATGATTCTATTTGGATTTTTGTTGCTTTATCTTGTGTCAGGTTGTTATTCATCTTCTTGCTGCATGATTATTTAAATGAAATTGCACTTCCAGTGTTCTGTAGCAAGTAACATATAGCACACCTTTAAATCCTGTTCTGCTTTTGCTTCTGACACCTTCGTGCACACATATATTTCCTTTCCTATTTATTTAATACTAAGGTTAATATTTTTTTATCCATCTCCAAGTTTCTTCCCCTGTTTTTGTTACAAAAAGACATCTGAAGTAATAGCAGAGGAGCTTGCTTTGTCTGCTGCTTCAGTGTCAATTCCATAACCTGGTGGGTGCAATGCTGTGCTTATCTCCTAAGACAACAGGATGAGGTGACAAGAGATGAAGCGCATTCACCTCAGTATCATTGGTCTTGAAGGCACTACTCAATCAGGTTTGGTTCATAATTCGAGATCAAAAAAAAGTACATGTATCCAGAGGCATCCTGCTGGGATGTCCAGGTTCCTGTCGAAGCTTCCCGCATCTGCAGTCCCAAAATACAGGACTTCTTATATTTGTTTTAGATATTACTATATTGGAGAGATGTCCTTGGGTTTTAGTTATGGCATACATTAGGGACAGAGTCGTCTGTCCCTTTACAGGTGACTTTATCTGAGCTAAATGTCTAAACTAGCTGTATGGAAAGTCAGTCAAGGGAAACAGACACTTCTGATGCATGATTTGTCTGATTTGAAGCAGATAATTTAGATGGCCTATGTGCTTTATAAACCAAATGATGTAGATGTCTAAAGTTACATAAGTGAATCTTACAGCTGCGCCTCCTTAGTTTTAATGCTGAAAATTATATGCGTTATGAAGTGTAGAAGTCTCTGTTTTTAATGTTTTTCATATTTATTAATAATTCTTGCTAGAATCTCCTTTCGGGATTCTGCATCAAGAAACCAATCACCAGTCTTCTTTTTTTCCTGGCTCTTGACTTGCATTTTTCTCTTCTTCCCTTTGATGGGCCATAATAAGTATGCAGGCAATAGTTAGGCTTTAGAAAAATCCATGCCTCTTTTTGAACGTATAGTTTAATTTACTTAGCTGTGTCACTACTTTCACAGCTGCAGCCTAAAACCGGTATTTAGGATTTCACCATGTTTCCTTTATCATTTAGTCTGTGACTTTGTGCAATGTAGGTTGCCAGCTGAAGAATTGGAATTCAGCTCAGCCAGCTATCACATAGGAATCTGAACAGGAAAGAAGCTGTAACAGAGATCTACAAATGCATAACTTAACAGTGCCAAAACTTGAGTCTGTCAGAAGGATCCTGATGAACAAGTTTTTATATGTAATGTACCAAATGCAACAGGATCTCTTACAGCCTTCTGGCTGCACTTAGACGCATACTTTCTTAATACATACACTTGCTTCCTCTTCCTTCCTTTGTGACTTTCTCAATCATACTTCTCTTTCACTGAGGGTAAACAAGATGAAGACCATTTTGGTAATAAAATACAAATGAAACTGTTTACACACATGGGCCACTGCATGCCATACCCCGGGGTAGAACGTCTTGTTGAATTAAGGTCTTATTTACTCCTTGAAGTGGCACAAAATGTACATTGAGTCTGCACATATGTCTTTAAATATACAGCTTTAAAATTTAAAATCCCTACATCTTTTAATGTAAAATCTTGAGTGTTCAGCTGAGGTGATTCATGGTCAGAAGGACAATATGATGCAATAGTGAAGGGGTGAAAACAGGGTATGCGTGAGTAGAGACGGAAGGATTGCAGAATGCAAAGGTTTGACCAGGGTTTATTTGTGTTTTGTGGAGTATACAATAAGAATTAGTATTTAATTGCATGAAAACTGAACTTCTACCATCATTGTCTTTTACAAATGGCAGCTGCAATGTGCCCATCTTATTCTGATAGAAGTAACTAGCTACCCCATCCAATATATTATTGCCAATATCTTGAAGGAAATGTATGTCAAGACTGTTAGATTTTCATCAAGTGAATCTTATTTCCTTGCAAGAAAATTCATATTCTTTTTGTTTACCCTGTCAGTGTGGGCAGGACAGCTGCTATACCCTAAAGGACACTGTGCAGCTACATAGGAATGAATGTAAACAGGAATGAGGGTATGGATGGAAATAAAACAATAAACTTACCCAGAGGAAACAACATAGAAAAAGACAGCTTTTTTTTCATTTGCATGAGGAGCAATACAAACACAGAAATTGTCAGTTACAAACTGATTGGTAAGGATAAATATTGCCAGAGTACTTCATGCCATTGCAAACTCAAAACAAGTAACACTTAGAATTTTGCTTTCAGCAGGCTGTTTTTCTGCTGAAAGTGTTCTGTTCTAAAACTAGAACTTAAACATTTTCATTTAGTTTGGGGTATTTGGTATTTACTGTTCTATGCCTTTTGTTCTTGTCAATTAACTATTGACTACAAAGCTCATGGTTTAGCCATATTATTTTACATTATGCCCTGAAACATTGTCCTTTGCATTGTGCTGTAAATTTTGTTTGTACTTTCTAAGATGATGTGAAACTTGTAGAAAGTACAAATACTTCTGTGGGGGAGTGGATGAAGTGATTCGTGTTCAAGTTCTAGAACTGAGGGTGGTAAAACCTTGCAAAACTTAGAGTACTCACCTAGGAGGTGGAACACTTGGCTGGCATTGATCTGGATGGATAGAAACCCCACTGCACCTTCTGAGAGAATGCTGCCCCTTACAATGTGTAATATACTTAGAAGGACATCCATCTTTCAAAGCGGGACCACTGTGCAATCTTGAGCACAGGAGTCACATGCCAACAGGAGAAAAGCAAACAGTAGCATGATTCTGTTGTTTAGTGGTAGAGCATCTCAGCTGAGGGGAAAGACTTGTGCCTTGTTCCACTGCCTGCTCTTGGATCTCTCTCTGTATATTCTCCAGGAAAGAGCTCATTTAAAATGCTCACTTATCCCAGTAAGAAAGGGCACAAAGAACTTCCTTGGTTCCACTGGCATAGCTTCAAAAGGAAGAAGGGGTGGTCCAGATACCTGTTCTGTATCCTGGTATTCTCCCTGGAAAAGCCATATGTGAAGAAAAAGCCTAGAGTTAAAAAGTTATTACTAATGGGACCAGACACTGCCAACCTTGTTTTCTCTTCTCCCCCCTTTCTTAACTACTACAAGTTAGATTCCATGTTTCTATCAAACATTCTGGATATTCTCAGAGAATATTATCTGGGCTTTACTGAAGGACTCAGCCATGGAAAGAAAGGCTAAACCCACCTAGGGCTGACAGTCCAAAGAATTCTTTGATCAGACAGCATTAGGCCAAATTCTGCATAAGGCATAAAACTCATTCAAAACCATTGCAAGATCAAAGGTAGGCTAAAAAGCATGGTCTGGGGATCTTGATTTTGCTGATAGAAGCTTCAGGTGTACCTAATATCTACATCAGGTTCTCAAGTCTGTCCTAGTAATCTAACTGATGAAACCCACAACCTTACTCAAGAGCTGTATGTGTATAAGTATAATTAAACATTTTGGTCCATATGTGTAAACGGAGAGCTTTCTCCTTATGGCATTGATCAAAAAAGCAATTGGTAATAAAAATGTCTAAAAACTGCTTTTCATCTTTCTTGTTCTTCCATATTAGATTCTAATAAACTGAAACACATTGGGTATTAATGCATACCTGTAAATTGGGGTGGGCCTTCAGCTAATTTAGATTTAATCAATACATTCATAGCTCATATGAATGTTCCAAAGTCATGTTAACATTTTACAAAAATTTGTTTTGTAGACTGCAGTGATGATGTATTTCGCTGTGACACAGGAAAATGCCTAAATTATACGTTTGTTTGTGATGGATATGATGACTGTGGAGACCTTAGCGATGAACAGAACTGTGGTAAGTGAAAGTTTTATGCTTTTCTGAAGTCTTTAACATACCAGTACTGCCTAAATCAGCAATCTTTTTCCTTAAACTATTGAAAGAGTAATATAACCTGCTGTTATTCTCTTTGGGCAAAGTAAAAACAACTCACAGATTTTATGTGCCATTTGTAAAGATTTAAAGGAGATCTCTGGGTCAGTCAAAATTTTGAAGGTAGTGGTACTTTGAAGAAATACTGTGATTCATAATTTGTTTTAAACTAATTCAAGATGTTATGTTTGCTTTCTTGCTAACATGGTGTCGTGGTTTAAACCCAGTCATGTAACTCGTTCACTCACTTCCCCCCCCCTTCTTTCCCTCCCCCTACTCCCAGAGGGATGGAGAGGAGAGTCAAAAAGAATGCAACTCCCACGGGTTGAGATAAGAACAGTTTAGTAACTAAGGTATAACACAAATCACTACTGCTACTACCAATAATAACAATGATAAAGGAAATAACAAAGAAGAGAATACATCACCTCACCAGCAGCTGACCGATAACTTGCCCCCCCAGCCCAACCAAGCACCGACCCATACCTCCTCCAACCCTGCAGTCTCCAAGCCCTTCCGGCTAACTCCCAGTTACATCCTGGACATGACGTGCTGTGGTATGGAATACCTCTTTGGTCAGTTTGGGTCAGGTGTCCTGTCTCTGCTTCCTCCCGGCTTCCCCTCCTCCCTGGCAGAGCATGAGCCTCACAAAGTCCTTGGCCAAACCAAAACATCATTGTTATCAGCTCTGTTCCCAAGCTGAAAGTCAAAACACAGCACTGCACCAGCTACCAAGAAGGAGAAAAATAACTGCTACTGCTGAACCCAGGACGCATGGCTGAATTTAACTGAGATTAAAGGAAACCGTAAGAGCTTACACACTGGTTATATGGCAACTGCTTTGTAGCTGAACTGTTTTTATATAAGCTTCAGGGTGAACTGGCATATTTTGATGATCAAATTATGTTTCTTTCAAATTCTGCTTTCAATCAGCTTTGTATGTTCTGCCTTCTTATATGTCTTTCTACCTACACTTGAATTTCATAGGGAAAAGATGGAGTTTTGCCATAAAAAAACGAATAATTAGCACATGTAAATATTACAAAACTTTGAAAGCCTTAGTTTTTTTAACTTTTTCTCCTGGTGCTACACCTAAGACAAATTAAGTGCTCTAAAATGGGTGTTAAACATTTAAAATATTATATCTCACTTTTTTTTTCTTTTGCTTTTCTAAGGAAAATCCCAGGAAATTTCAAAACTGAAAATCAGTGCACATTTTTTCTGATAGTTTTTTTTAATGTTTCTTCTCCAAATTAAACATACTCTAAGACTCCAAAATCTTTCACTACTTTTTGTCAGTTCTGGTTGCTCCTTTTTGGTTGGTTGGTTGGTTGGTTTTTGTTTGTTTGTTTTTCAGAAAACATCTTTGATTCAAGATTTTTCTGAATGTTTATCTAACTCCTACCATCATTATCTTGAGATAGTTTGGTTTTTTTTTTATATAGAAAATTTAAGATCTAACTTTTTGTACAGGTTATAAGTGGGTCTCATATCAGACTGTCTACACTCTGTATTTATTTTGGTGTAAAATCAGACTGGTCAAAAGAATGCTTTTATTTATTTGTGGAAGTACTTGGGTAGGAAAAGTAAGATGAAGATTGGAATAGTTTCCTTGTAGATCATTCTTATGAAAAATTCTGAGTGTATGCAAAATAGGTTTCTGATTAAGCGCCAAAAATGGCAAATGAAACATTTTTTTTTTACTTCATAGTAAAAACATAAATGTAGGGAATGATTTTCCCTGATGGCAACTGGAAATGTTGGCTAACTGAAAGGCATTTCATTATGGGAATAAAGAAGATCTTTTAATCTGCTCAACAAACGTTAGAAATGTGTTTATTTGCAAATTGAAACAACTGTGCAACTGAGAGAAGGAGTAAGTGCATCAATATCTATATATGCAATAGAATTCAGAACATATTTAACTAAAATCTGCCAAAAAAATCTCCAGGAACAGAAAAATCTCTTATTGTATATTACAACTTCAAAATGGCTCATTGGTAAGAATGATTAGCTTATAGGCATAGGACAATTGATCAAAATCACAAAATACACAAATTGTAATTTATCATCCTTTTTTTTTTTTTTCCTCACATTTGAATTTTAATTAGATTGTAATCCAGTGACACATCATCAATGTGGAGATGGGAGATGTATAACTGCTGATTGGGTATGTGATGGTGACCATGATTGTATAGACAAATCAGATGAAATCAATTGCTGTAAGTTCCTTTAATTTCTAAATCAGTTTTTTATTTCTTTAAAAATGAAAATAATGTAAGATAAGTAGTATATTTACTTACTACTTGTGAGGCAAAACTACAAGTTTACTTGATTTGCAAAATTTGCACTTTATAAACGTCCCTACTGGAAGACGACTGCAGCAGATTAAACACTTGTTGCCATTGTTGAGATCTCCCAGCGCTGCCTTGTGTTTCAGCTTAATTACAGAATTACCTTTTTATTAATTGTGATGTTCCCCTTAAACAATAATGAATGAACGTATATAATCTCTAAACTGTAGGCATTCTGAGTTTGTGTCAGCTTTCTCATGTGTCTGTATGCAACCTATCAAAGCTTGTCAGAGTCTGCACTTCTCTCTTCTCCGATGATAATGGTATATATCTGCAAAACAACTACCCTAGTATATTACCAAGGTTGCAAAATCAAGCCTTGGGGAACTAGCATATGTTTTAATATGATTAAAGTTGTCATAAGAGATACACTTATATGGCTTTGATTCTTGCTGCCATTCAGTGGTTGACCTCACAGCCACTATCCTAGAATTTTCCCTGAAACCTAAGAATGCATTCTGAATTAAAGAATGTAAGTAAGTGGGCAAAGAAAACATGACAATTTTCAGTTGAGTAAAAATGATGCTTTTGTATGTTTGTTGTAGCTGTAAGCTGTTGAAAGCATAGCCTACATACAATGAAAAATGTCTTCTAGTGACTTTCAGTGCTAAGCAGTGGTATTAGCTCCTCCTGAAATAACTTCAGGATAGTGTTCAAAACTAACTAAGACCTTCATTAATCTAAGTTAACCAGTGTATCATCGTTTTTTTCTCTCTAGCATGTCACAGTCAGGGTCTGGTGGAGTGCAGAAATGGGCAGTGCATTCCTAGTGCATTCCAGTGTGATGGAGATAATGACTGTAAAGATGGAAGTGATGAAGAAAACTGCAGTGAAAGTAAGGGTATCCCCCATTTTACTGCTCTTACTGAACCCGTCATTGACTGCTTTGTTCTGAAGTGTCTTTAGCTAAAGCTGTCTGGCATTTACTTTCATTCCCTTTCAAATAACACTTGATAATGTTCTCTGGTGTCTGCTTTCACAGCGAAATTTGTAAGCAGAGCTTTATTAGTCCTTAAAAATATAAAAAGTTAAGGAAATGGAGGTGATATTTAGTATAGGTTTTGGTTATCTGACATGATGAGCTGTTACTTAAAATAAATTGATATATATTCACACTGTCTGCAGCAATTAGAAGCTACTATCAGAGGAACTGGTGCCATTTGAGAAGGAATTTTCTCATGAAAATTATTTTTTCTTCAGTACTTGGGAATCAGAGAAAGGATGTTTTCCTAAATAAATTAATGAGTTAGTGTTACTAAGGAAAAATGTATGAAGATGTAAGTTTTCACAGCTACTTAATAGCTGGCTCATGATGGTTTATATGAAAGAAAAGGAAACCAGGCAGTTTTTTGAGCCCCAGAACATGTTTCCCAAAGACTTGTGTCCTGTGGTACATTTTGACATTCGGAAAGAAATGTGATGTTGTGAAGGTTTCACAATATTTGAGGATATTTTTCTCATGTAATTCTCTTGTTTATGGTAAGGTAGGTTCAGATAGCAGCCTTTCCTTCAAAGTGAGAATTATTAATGACATACTTTTTCGAATTTAATTTTTAAAGAAATTAGTTAACTTTATGTAGAAAACCCTACTGTTGTCAGATGTAGCGGTAATAAGGCAACCTATTCAAAAGTTATTAGAGTAGAACACACCTGTTATCATAAGATAAATACACAGCTGGTTCTGTGATCCCTTCAAAAGAGAGAGTAGAGTGTGTTTATAGAAATTCAGTATTGACTGTGCTTGGATCAAAAGAATCTACATTGCACCAAAAGGAATTTTAAAGAGTTGAGAAACTCTTCCCCTGTGGGATAAGAAGGGGTTGGAGCAAACTTAAAAAATTAATTTTAATGTCATTATTTGTAATAGGCTTAGAATTTAAGAAGTTTTCCCTATTTTTAAAGTTCAATTTTGCAATCAGCTGCACCTGTAAAATAAGACAGTCAGTTGTTACAGCTAAAGAAAGTACCTCTATTGCTTCAATATATAACATGTATGAAAGGAAGTAAATCCACATTACTACACTGTCAGTTCTTTGGGATGAGGCTGTTGTCAAGATCATTGAAACAAGATGTTTCTTAAGAATCTTCTGTACTCCAATATAAGGACGCCATGACTGATTAATGTTCAATAATAATCAATTGCATAGTGCAATACAAACACCAAGTAGTAGTTGCAATAACCCATTTTAAAGAGGATGAGATGATGATGATGTAATCCAAACTGTTCAGTCTCTGTGTACAGAATAGTAAATTAAATGAATGCTTTTGCAAAAGTCACATTGAAGAGATAATTTAATGGTTTGGAAAGGAGCTATCACCACTGTGACACAGAGAGAAGTCCAGGGATTTGTCAGCAAAACTAACTACCCAGGTGATACATTCAGAAGTGTTTTGATGAAATGCTGGTTTTAGTTGCTCTGAATTCCATTTTTAGGACCTTAGCCTTTTGGGGTTTCTTATTGTTGTTTGTGTTTTAACCAGCCAGAAAAGGACAATGGCACTTCAGTTTTGATGACCTTTCTCCAGGATGATTTTTATTGTCCACCAAAACAATCATAAAATGAGAAGCAGATCAACTGAATGGCACTGAGGAATGATTCCCAGAAAATATTCTCTTTCAACTAGAACCTATTGTTCCCTCCAAAATCTGATTTATATGACTTTTCATACTTTTGCTGCAGAATGGTAAATGGCTTTCAGAGATCCATACCTCTCAATTGGAAACTGGGATATAAATTCTTATTTTAAGTATACAGGTAAAGAAAAGTGACATCTGGACACTCCTGCACGCTTTTCTTTCTTACATTTTCTTGCTACACTCGAAATGCTGTAGGGTGCTTAATTATGTAAAGTAAATACTTAATTGTAAAGTAAACTCTGCATTTTCTCATTGCTGCACTCCAGTAATTTTTATTAGTCTGGTAAATAATTAGAATAGTAAATTTCTATTTTCCTCAGGTCAAACCCTCTGTCAGGAGGGAGACCAGAGATGTACTTCCTGTCCTGATCCCTGTGGAGCTTCTCTCTGTGAGATGAGAAACAGCCAGACAAACTGCAGTAAGTAGGTCACATGCTTTGCACTGTCACTGTTTTAGAGTGGTTTAGCGTATAATGAGGATGCAGGGTAGGACACGGTAAATAATACTTTAATTTACTATCTAATGCACATGTGTAATGATTAAATATTGAAAAGGGCAAAGTTGAAACAGAAGTTCCATCATAACTTTTTATTATTGATGTACTTAGAGATCCTAACATTTGACATTGAGGTGTTTTCCCTTCTGTGAATTTTTGATACGTTCTTAAAGGCTATTTACAGTTGTGCTTCTTAACATCTACTGACTTTCAGTGTTTACACGAAGTAACAACACAGTGTAAGTGTAAAGCAGAAGCTACTGGTTTAATTTCAATATACAAGAAAACATGATGCGGTGTTTAGTAGTGTGGAGAACTTTTAGCCCTTTTATGAAGGAATAATTTTGATATTCAAACTGGCAAAACTACTTATTCTTCTGACCAATACATCTTGTATGATATATGATATAAAGCAGCCTTTCAGTGATATTCCTCACTGGAAACTGAGGCTAAAAAGACATAGAGTACCTTCGCCTTTTCTGTGTATCTTGTAACTAGCTCCACTGCCACAATGGGCAGCAGACCCATATCTTTTTTTTTGTTTCCTTTTGCTGCCAGTATACTTACAACAGCATTCCTTCTTGCCCTTTACGTTGTCCAGTAGTTTCAACTCTAGCTGAGCTTTGGCTTTTCTAACTCCATTCTTGCTTGGGAAATTTCTCTGTGTTCCACTTCAGTGCTGCATCCCCTCTTATGTCTTCTGTGTATTTTTTTGTGTTTGAGCTTGGTCAGGAGAATCACATTCAGACAAGGTGGTCTTATGACGCAGTTTCTCATAGAATCATAGAATCATCTTGACTTGCTTTGCATTGGAATGGACTCCTGTGCTCTAAGGAGGCTCTGTATTAAGACCAGCTTGCTGTTCTCCAAGCAGATGTCAACATGAATAAAATTCTCATAAGTACCAGGCCTGCAATCAGGAGGCATCCTCAGCTCTCAAGAAAGGTTCATCTACATCCTCTTTTTGTTAAAGGTGGTCTGCAGCAGATGCCTATCATGTACATCACCTGTGTAAATCTGGCCTTTAATCCATAATCAAATTATTCAGGTGGGAAGGAGCCTTCTAAAGTGATTGGAGTAGTAGGTGTTGGGGTTTTTTACTTGCCTGTTGTGAACCAAACCAAGAAATATCAAACCCCAAGAGATATTTAGAAAGGGTTATGAAATGGGAAGGAAAGCATCCAAATAACACAAAGCTAACAAAAATACACTTTATTTTTTAAAAACTTGTATTAAAAACTTAATTTTTAAAATAGTATCTTTTTTCCTTTTTGAAATCTCAGGTATCTTCATTGAATTATCTCAGTCATTTTCTCATCTGTGCCTTGCAATATTATCTCCTGTGAGAGGTTATCCCTCTCCCGGTGAAAAGGAAGCAATATACATGGGATACGTACACTAAAAAAATGAGAAATAAAACATGAGGTATCACAACAGATCAAATTACTTCGGTTGTTGACCACATCTGCAGTTCCTGCTGAAACCCCTTCAAACTGTAGGTGTCTGGCATCTCCACAGAAAACAGTTCTTCAAGTAATCTTTCCTTATCTTTGGTGAGACTTGAAAGTCATATTTTCCTGATCATTTAAGGTCAGAATACACAAGTATTGATTAAGATATAATTGCTGACTTGAATAACTCCACTTTAGCTAGTCACAAATTTAAATGGGTGTGATAAGATTGATCCTCTGTGGGCTGAATGCTCATGGGAGTGAAGGATATTTAGTCTCAGATCTCTCTGTCTGCAGGAGAAGCATCAGCTTTAGCATCCTGAGCCTTTAAGAACAGGTGTTGCTTTTCAGTTTCTCCATGTGAAGATCAGCTTTTTTATTTGAGCATTACTGACATTGCCACAAAGCTGTGGTTTGCCCAGGAATGGGGCTTCCATACTTCTATTTATTGTTTCAAAGTTTTACTCATAATGCTTCTAAAAGTTAACCGGCATTACACTAAACCCTGGTTTATGTTTAAAATGGTAGTAACTTTACATTTACTCAGGTCAAGAAAAGACAGTATTTTGTAATTGTATTTATTTTTAAATACTTAGAGTTTAAACTGCTTAGTAAGGACCATGTAAAATGTATCTGATATATTGTGACAGAAACAGCATTGGAGTCACAGCTGGTGGCTGTGTAATCACCAGTTGTCCATAGGACAGGTCTTCTGGGTGGCAAAAGACACCAGCAGCAGCCTTACCCAACAAATAACAAAAATATGTAAGTACCCACAGCAGCCTCTTGTTCTTACCTACTCAGAGAGCAGTTCTCTCTTAAGCAAATTACCTTTCATAATGAGCAGCTACAGCCCTCTAAAAGGCAACAATCTTTCGAGCAGTGTGACTCAATTCAGTTGCTCTCACAAAAAGAGAGAGCTGAAAGTGTACTTTCTTTCTTGGACTCATCTTTCTTGTGGATAAATCAGTATGAGAATGACTGTAGTACAGAACAGTTTGTCCAAAATCTTCTCTGAAAAATGCAAATTTTTGTATCCCATTGTATGTATTGGGAAGTAATTTTGGAAGACGTTTGAGTGCCTGGCACTATGTTACAAGACAGTGAAAAACTTTTTTTGATGTGTGATATTTGAGTTCTAAAACAATGTTCCTATTCCATGTCATAAGAAGCCCAAGAGCTTTTTAGTGAAGATACTTCCTTGGCATATTATGGGCAACAGTCCATAGTTCTCAACAGGAGTAACACATAATCTGAATTAGATTTGCAGATCATCTCTCTCCCATTCTGGTCCAGTGAATATTTAATTGTTTATACACAATGGAACAGCAAGAGAATCTGGGAGAGGTTTTTCTTGCATAACATCTGGAAGTAATGTTGTCTTTTTTCATGTTATTTTTGCTGTTCATATTTTGACCAGAGATATTTCATCTTTGGGGAGACATGAGAATTCCCATGAAAAACGTCAGTGTTGACAAAGAAGTATTTTCTCACCCAAATAACACTTTAGTTGGAGAATTCCAAAGCATAGGCCACATTTCTCAGTATTGGTTAAATTGATATTCTGCATGAGTGATAATGTCTGATCAGTTTAGGCTGGCATTATAAAGCAGTAATAATATATTTAGTATAACAGAACAAATATCTGCGTGGAGAGTGTAAAGACAACAGAGGGAGGCTATTTTGGTTTTTTGGTGCTCTGTGGCAGAACTGAAGGCAATGGGCACAAACTGAAACATGGGAGTATAAGGATAACTGAATATAATGAAACACTTGTTTTACTGGCAGGGTGATTGAACACAGGTTGTCTGGAAGAGGTTGTAGAGACTCCCTAGACAGTCAGAAGCTGTCTGGGCATGGTTCTGCACAACCTGCTCTAGGTGGTCGTGCCTAAGCAAGGGGGATTGGACCAGATGATCTCCAGAGGTCTCTTCCAACTTCAACCCTTCTACAATTCTGTGAAATACCCCATTCACTTATGTTACTATGTTTGGAACTAACTTCTGCATAGTAAGTAGAGCAAGTTAATACATGAAGATATTAAACCCAGGCATAATCTGATGGTTTATGAGTTTGGTTTCTTGGTTGTGGGGTTTTGTTTTGTTTTTTTTTTTTGTGTGTGTTTGTTTGGGTTTTTTGGGGTTTTGTTTTGGGGTTGGTTTCTTTTTCTTCTTTTGCTTTTTTTAGTGTGATGTTTGTTTTTTGGTTTTTGCCTTTTTTCCTTTTTCTTTAGGATAAGATGGAACAAATTTTATTCCTTGTTTCCTACTCGCTAGCTTGTACTTATATGTACTATAAATAAGGGAGCAGCAAGAAAAACTGTAGGACAGATATCAGAAGGAAAGACTAACATTTGGGTTACTTGAACTCAGTCAGGTGTTCCCCTGGAATGTATATTCTCTTTGTTACTCTGCTTGTGGATTGTACGGAATTGGGTTTAAGAGTAAAAAGTTACTATTTTCAAACCTACAATGACATCTTTGCATATAATGCAATAGAAGCATTCTAAAAGCAGTGAAAAAATGAATTGTAATCATATTGAAAACATGTAAAGTGAAAACTTATATCCTGCAAAGACATTTCAGTGGACTAGATCTCCTGGAATTCACCTAAACGCCTGTAAATATGAGTCATAACAAATGAGAGACTGAAACGTAAGCATTCCTGCCATTTAGTTTCAAATGTTATGTTATACAACACTTAAATGCTGCATGTGCTTTTGGGTCCATTTACTCGGGTTACATCATGAAATACTGATGAGCATGTAATATTCTGTACACATCAAGAAAAGATGCTTACTGGGGAAAAATCAAAAGACAAAACCAAACTGATCTGGGCAACTGAAGTGTGGGAGGACAAGAAAGAGTTCAAAAGGAACAGGAAATCACAGTAGTGTGATGAGGATTTTTGTAGTCTTTGAACCTCATATACCCCAAAGCTGGGACTAAATGGTTTGAGGTGACACAAGTATGTGCAGTATGCAAGGATTTAGCAGAGAGGTAAAGTTGTATATAAAATGAACTTCATAATCTTCAGATTATAGGTAAATACTAAAAGAGGTTATAACAGGGAACACCAGTCCAAGAATGACAGTTCGGCTGATCAGCTGATTAACTGGCTCTTGGGTCTTCTTCCTGTCAAAGGTGCAGCTATAGAATCACACAGTTGCCACAACTGGCTGGTAGACAGTATTAATCATGTTAAGATATGTTTGCTTTCAGAACAGGCAAATATATTTGCAGTCTTTTGGTAACAAATTACTTTCTTGTCTTACTTTTTTAGTACACTTTTTCATCAGAACTTTTCTGTTGTGGTGGAAAATTAAAAAGTAACTATTTCTGACTACCAGCTTGAGAAGAAATACAAGAGCTATACAATATTTTAAATCTAAAATACTTGGTCAGTTTAATGTGTGTTGTGATGAGCTCCCTAAAAGCTGAATGACTATATAGCTATAGTCAGTGTGATCATATGGGCTTGTAGCTGTTGCATTTAGTTGTTCTTGCTTATCATTCACTTTATTATAAATTATGTCTTATCTGAATTTAATTATTATCATGTAGACTGTCTCATACTCAGTGTTTGTGCAATACATAACACAAGTGTCCTCATTCTTCCTCCAGATCTTGGGATGCAAAAAAAAAATAATAAAAAAACCTGCCTTCTGCTTTCTATACAGAGAAATTGTGGAGTTTCTGTCATTAGAGATTTTTCAAGACCCAACTAAACAAAGCTTTGAGAAACCTGATCAGTCCTCAGAGCTGACAAAGCTTTGAGCGGGACATTGGACTACAGATCTCCTGAGATCTTTTCCAACCCAAAGTATCATATAATCCCAGTCTTCTTAATTTTGACAGTTGCCCTGCCAGTATGAGTTGTATTATGGGTGCATTGTTTTACGATATAGGAACACTTGAAAATTATCAGAAACTTAATTTGGAAAGAATAAATCTGTTTTTAAAGAATGGTTTATTGTACCATGTTAAAGTTAAGATGTTACTCAGGAAGTTAATGCATGTCGGTAAGGGAATGTAAGTCTCTGAATTGGTTATTAGGTAGTCAGAGGTCAAACCCACCTTTGTTTACTTATATGGGGTCTTGAGCTTTGAAACTTTGTAGTTTCTCAAGCCTTTGAGGAAATCCCCTGACTGATAAATTTGTTAAATTATTTCTTCTGTATTTCATTTCATCTCACACCATTTGTGTTTCTGTTTTTTGTTTTGTTTTGTTTTCTTTCTGTGAAAGGTCAATGTGAATCAATTACTCTGGAGCTCTGTATGAACTTGCCTTACAACTATACTTATTACCCAAACTACCTGGGACACAGGACGCAGAAGGAAGCTTCTATCAGCTGGGAATCTTCTCTTTTCCCAGCCTTGGTTCAGACCAACTGCTACAAGTACCTTATGTTTTTTGCCTGTACAATCTTAGTACCAAAATGTGACCCCCATACAAATCAGCGGATCCCACCTTGCAGGTACTATGCTATACTTCTTTTAATTCTTGACTGACATTGTCCATCATGTTAGTCTTTCCCAATTTTCTGTTACCATTCAGAATGCAGAAATTTTGGTTTGCAATTCCATAGCAAAAAGTAGAAAATGATATTTTAAAAGGTCATTAAATTCAGTTCATTATACGTGTGTATTACTGATTTGATTAGTTTCTGAAGTACTCAAAACAAGGGGAGGAATAGCAGTTTAATAATTTTCAAAATATATATATATTGAATAAAACAGGCTTTCATTTGGAAGGGACCTACAGTAATCATCTAGTCCAATTCCCTGACCAATTCAGGGCTCACCAAGTTAAAGCATATTATTAAGGGCATTTTCCAAAAGCCTCTTAAATACTGACGGGCCTTGGGCATCAACTGCCTCTCTAGGAAGCCTGTTCCAGTGTTTGACAACACTCTCTGTCAAGAAATGCTTCCTAATCTCCAGTGAAAACCTCCCCTGGTTCAGCTTTGAACCATTGCCATGTGTTCTGTCTCTGGATACCAGGGAGAAGAGGTAAGCACCTCCCTCTCTGCTTCCTCTCCTCAGGAAGCTGTAGACAGCGATGAGGTTGCTCTTCAGCCTTCTTTTCTCTGAACTAGACAAGCCCAGAGTCCTTAGCTGCTCCTCATAGGACATTCCTTCCAGCCCTTTCACCAGCTTTGCTGCCCTCCTTTGGACTCATTCAAAGACCTCACATCCTTCTTAAATTGTGGGTTCCAGAACTTCAGACATCACTCAAGTTGAGGCCCTACAATGCTGAATACAGTGAGATAATGACCTCTTTTGACCGGCTGGTTATACTGTGCTTGATGCACCCCAGGGTGCGGTTTGCTCTCTTGGCTGCCAGGGAACACCTCTGAATTGTATCAAGTCTGCTGTTGACCAGCACTACCAGATCTTTTCCCCAGGGCTGCTCTCCACCCACTACTTGCACAATTTATACTTATGCTGATGTTACTCTGTCCTAAGTGCAGAATATGGCATTTTAGCTTGTTAAATTTCATCTCATTAATCACTGCCCGATAGTGCAATCTATCCAGAGCCCTCTGCAAGACCTCTTGTCCCTCAAGAGTGTCAACAGCACCTCTCAGATACCGTCAGCAGACTTGCTGCATTCAACTCCTGTGTCCAGACAATTGGTAAATACAGTGAACTGAACTGGCCCTGAAACTGAACGATGAGGAACACTGCTGGTGACCAGTTACCAGCCAGATGTAGCCCCATTCACTACAACCCTTTAAGTTCTGCCCTTCAACCAGTTGTTCAACCCACCCACCTCACGGTTGGACAACATGTCCAGAAGGTTGCTGTGAGCTTTGTACAAAGTACTGTCCATTTCTGAGTTTGATTAGAGTTGTACTGCTATAAAGGGTATTTAAACATAGAATCAACTAATTTAATTTGGAACATCAGCATTTGTAATAGTTCCTTGCATTTGTATATCACTTCAACTATGCAAAGCCCTATCCAAATACCATTAACAAAACTTGAAATTTTAATGCATACTTACCTTTCTAAATTAGAGGAGTACTGCATCTTTCTGAATTACAGACTAATTTAGTCTTTCTGCTTGTCAGATTAGCTTTTCCACCATCCTCATCAATTAACACGAGTGTACTTTTCAGGGTTATGTTCAAAAGAAACTATGTTCTGTAAATCTTGTCATTTTGGTAGCAGCAGTTGTTGCAGATTAGGAGAGCTAATAAACCTGATCAGCAGGTGGAGCTCTTTGAGCAACTGGCTGCTAAAGCCTTCTTGTACTGTATTTCTGTATCTTTTAATGGGCCTACCTTGATGATATTGATCAATTAACATCTACTGTCTTGAAAGAAAAGTGCATTGCAATTTGCAATACATGTCCTAAAGTTTCCTACCATGTGACATTGTTGACAAATAGATAACATTACTGTTGTGGTTTAAGCTCAGCTGGTGACTCAGAACCACACAGCCGCTCACTCACTCCCCAGCTTCTTCCTTCCCCTGCTCCTGGATGGATGGGAAGGAGAATCAAAAGGATGTAACTCCCATGGGTTGAGATAAGAACAGTCCCGTAACTAAGGTATAGCACAAACCACTACTGCTACCACCAGTAATGATAAGGGAAATAACAAGGTAAGAGAATACAGCTGCTCACCACCCACCGACCGATACCCAACCTGACCCAAGCAGCAATCTAGCCCTTCCAGGTAACTGCCCCCAGTTCTACATCCTGAGCATTATGTGCTGTGGTATGGAATACCTCTTTGGCTAGTTTGGGTCAGGTGTCCTGTCTCTGCTTCCTCCCAGCTTCCCCTCCTTCCTGGCAGAGCATGAGACTCAGAAAGTCCTTTATCGGAGTAAACATTACTGAGCAGCAACTAAAAATATCGGTGTTATCAGCATTGTTCCCAGGCTGAAAGTCAAAACCATAGCACTGCACCAGCTACTAAAAAGGAGAAAAATGACTGCCACTGCTGAACCCAGGACAATTACTTTAGCTATGTGGTTCTTAATGTAAGTTAAGAATAAGTCACAGGGAAATTTACCCAGATATTGTTTAATTCTTGCATAGGGACCTAACAGGAAGGTTAGAATATTTTATATATGCAAAGTTACAGAGTGGTTTGTGTAAATTCTTTCAGGCTTGCTTGTTTGAATTTTTTTCTTTCTTTTTCTTTAAGAAAGCAGTGTAATAAATAGAACTAAATATGGCTAGGGGCATTAAGGGCAACAAGAAAAACTTCTGTAGGTACATTGGGGATAAAAGGAAGACTAGGGAAAATGTGGACCGCCTCTGTAAGGAAACAAGAGACCATGGACGTGGAAAAGACCAAGGTAGTCAGTGGCTTTTCTGTGTTTGGTTTTCACTGACAAGTGCTCCAACCACACTGCCAAAGTCACAGAAGGCAAAGGCAGGCACTTGGAGAATAAACAAGCACCCACTGTAGGAGATCAGGTTTGAGATCATCTCAGGAACTTGAAGGTACACAAGTCCATGGGAGCTGATGAGATGCATCTGCAGGTCCTGTAGGAACCGGCAGATAAATTTGCCAAGACATTATCTGTCGTATTTGAGGAGCTGTGGCAGTCTGGTGAAGTTCCCACCTGCTGGAAAAGGGTAGAAATAACCCCCATTTTTAAATACGGGAAAAGTGAAGACGTGGGGAACTACAGGCCAGTGAATCTCACCTCAGAGCCCAGCAAGATGACGGAGCAGTTTCCTCCTGGAAACTATGCTAAGATACATTATTGGTGACTGCCAACATGGCTTCACTAAGGGCAAATTGTGCCTGACAAATTTGGTGGACTCCTACAATGGGGTATGGCATTGGTGGGTAAGGGAAGAGCCACTGATATCATCTACCTAAACTTCTTCAAGGTACTGTCCTGCACAGCATCTTTATCTCTAGACTGGAGAGGCATGAATTTGACAGGTGGACTACCCAGTGGATAAGGAATTGTCTGGATTGTCATACTCAAAGACTTATGGTCAATGACTCAATGTCCACATGGAGACCAAGGATGAATGGCGATCCTCAGGGATAGGTATTAGGACTGGCACTATTCTGCATCTTTGTAGTCAACATGGATAGTGGGATTGAGTGTGCCCTCAGCACGTTTGCTGATGACATCAAGCTGTGTGGTGTGGTCAACAAACTGGAAGGAAGGGATGCCATCCAGAGGAACCTTTACAGGTGCAAACCTTTTGAAGTTCAACAAGGCCAACTGCGAGGACCTGGTCGACTTGCCTGGGTCAGGACAATCCCAAGCACAACTACAGGCTGAGTGGAGAACGGATTCAGAGCAGTCCTGAGAAGAAAGACTTGGGGCTGTTGGTTGATGAGAAACTGGACATGAGCTGGCTTCAGTGTGTGCTCTCAGCCCAGAAAGCCAACCGTATCCTGGGCTGCACCAAGAGGAGCGTGACCAGCAGGTCGAAGGAGGTGATCCTGCCCCTCTACTTTACTCTCATGAGACCCCACTTGGAGTACTGTGCTTAGCTCTGGGCCCCTCAGCGTGAGAAGGACATGGATCCATTAGAGTGAACACAGAGAAGGGCCACAAAATGATCAGAGGCTGGAGTACTTCTGCTATGAAGATAGGCTGAGAGGGTTGGGCTTCTTCAACCTGGAAAAGGCTCCAGGGAGCCTTTATAGCAGCCTTGTAGTGCCTAAAGTGTACCTACAAGAAAGCTGGTGAGAGACTTTTTTATAAGAACAAGTAGATGAGCTGTAAGGTCCCTTCCAATCCAAATCATCCTATGATTCTATGAAAATTTGGCTAGCTTATTTTAACGTACAGGGATAAAAGATAAAGTATAGGTTCTTTGCTTCATCAACTGCATACCTAGCTAAGAGATTTTAAGAAGTATCAGAATATAGTTGCATAGTTTTCAAATTTAAAGTATTAGACAAAGAGAAACTTGTAGAAACCATAGAATTATTTACTTTGAAGGGAACCTCTGAAAGTCATCTGATCAACTTCCTCCTCAAAACAGGGTAACATCATATTTAGATCAGATTGAATACGCAACATAAAATTTTGCATCCCAGGATTCAAAGCTCTACTTCTGTAATTGTTTTCAGGTTTTGCTTTTATGTTCGATTCCAAGTAGAGAGTGTTTTTATCAATAAGGGATACCTTGGAGGGTTCCATTGGGATCTATAGTGTTTGCTTTAAAATAATTTGGGGAGGATTTCAGACACAGATATAATGTAAAAATGTTCTAGGAATGAAAACGCGTATAGCCTTATACCAATAAACTTGATTTAATTGATAAATGTAAAGCATATCTGTAGAAAAAATTAAATACATTTAATATATCAATATAAAGAAAAGTTTATCAATGTCCCTTATTTTGGGAGCAGTAAATGCCTTCTTAGTCATGTTCACCTACAATGTCATGGAGATGATGATATCTGCATATTCAAAGAGTCTCCAGCTGACTTTGATGTTGTTTCAAAACTGTGACAGATGTGTATGAAGAATAATCTTGGTCAAATCTCATGTCCCTTATATGTTGGCATCAATTTAGGCATCCCATTATTGAACTGGGAGAGTCAAAAGATGTTTTAGTTATCTGCTAAGTATGCTTAATGTTCTTTAGAAAAGTGCTAGATTGAGTTCTATTGCAGAAAATTACACATTTCTATGTTAGATTTTTTTTGCTAACCTTGATTTCTTTCTCATACCAGGAAAGGAGAGATTTCTTTGCTTAGTGATGTGTTCTCTTGTTAACTGTTGACTTAGGTTAATTTGTAGACAGTACCACAGATGAGATTTGACTGAGAAGTAAATAAACAAGTCTGTTCTGAAAGCCCAGCTGAGTCTCACTATGGGAATGGGGAAAAGACTTAGGGGGGGAGTGCCAATTGCTCTTCCAATTTCCTAGCTGTCTTACAATAGAATCATAGAACAATATTGTTGTTGGGTTTTTGCCATAGGTAAATAAAAGTTTCTATCATTCAGAATGCTGAGGTTACAAACTAGTGAGAGTAAAACTTTTTGATATTCAGGAAGGTCTAAAAGGAAAGAATCTGTAACTACAGTATGGTTAACCAATGTCAATCCAGTCATCCATTCCTTCTAGTGCTCAACTCAATGGCGAATTGTTTGGTGCAAAAAAAACATTGACTGTTTTTCATGAAGTCCCCCAAAGCAAAATTAAATTTGAGAAGATTAATAATGTATTGTTTTCTCAAAAGAGCATAAAATAATTAATACTAAATGGATCCTTTTGCCTGGTTTTGGTCACTGTATTTCTCCAAGCTTATTGCAGGAAAAAGAAAAATGTCCATTGGTCAAAAGATCAAAGGAAAATGGGTGGAATAAAATGCCTTGCATGAAAGGAGTTTCTGTTTCCAAAAGAAAGATCTGGAAAAATTAATCAAACTAAAGAAAAGGCAAATTTAAAATGACATGAAGGAAACTGAAAAAAAAACCCTACATATATATAGAAATGGTTGGGATCCTATTCTTGAGTAGTCTTTAGTGCATAAGAAGAAAAGAGAATTTTCTTTGAAATGGTAGGAGAAAGTCCAAATTATTATTGATTTAGAAAATATGATCTAAAACGTGCAACTAAATGCGTTGCTGAGTCTAGATACAGGAGATGGCTTGGGGAGACATCTTAGCCTTCAGATAGGTGAAGGTGAGTTTCCTTGAGGAAAGAAATTGTTCACCATGTTCACTGAGGTTAACCAGGAAGCAGTGGATTTAAAATACATCAGGAGAGCCATAGGTCAGAGAGAAGGAAAATAATAGATACCCGTGCATAAGAATGAATGATGAGGTAGTATATGCAATCTTGCCAACTGAAGAGTTTTTAAGAACAGCTTTGATGCATATCTGTTAAGCATGACACATGACATGAAAAGATGAAAAGGATGTTGAGGTTCCTAATCCTATACTGCCTACTTAATATTCCACAAAAATAAAAAAAAAAGGAAGTTGAAACAAACAGGAATTAAAAATACCGCAGATAAAAGACTACTCTATTGAACAGCACATCAGCTGTGATTCTGAGCAAAAGTACTTGCTAAATATTTTAAATAATGTTTAAAATAATAGGGGATTATTATGCAAAATACTCTTTGTACTTTTGAAACAGTTGACATTGGCTCTTTTGAGAGACAGGATATTTATCTAGATAAACTGAACTAATTTTGTATGGTCAGCAGCAGGAGTTCTATATTCATGCCTTTCTCCACCTTTCTCCAGGTATGGTACAAGCTTCTGTTGCTCTGACTGCAACCTAAGACTAGGTTGACCTGTGCTTTGATTTTTCCCAGGCTTTTAATTTTATTGAATTCCTTGGGTAGTTCCTTGCTCTGTAGTTTGCAGGTTTAAATATTTTGTCCTTCTGAAGCCACTTGTTTCCTGAGGTAGCATCATCAGAAGAGGTACCATTTCACTGGTACGAAAAGTATTTGGCTTTTTTCTTGAAGGAGAACATTTAATGCTTCTTAAAAAAAGTTATCTGCCTTCCCTTACAGAAGAGAGGATGCTTGTAAGTATTTGTATTTGGCTATTATAACACAGGTAATAGTCTGCATACAGTAACTTAAATAATATTTCAACAGTAGCAACATTTTGCAGCCCAGAAAGCCAACTGTATCCTGGGCTGCATCAAAAGGAGCGTGACCAGCAGGTCGAAGGAGGTGATCCTGCCCCTCTACTCTGCTCTCATGAGACCTCACCTGGAGTATTGTGTGCAGTTCTGGTGTCCTCAACATAAAAAGGACATGGAACTGTTGGAACAAGTCCAGAGAAGGGCCATGAGGATGATCAGGGGACTGGAGCACCTCCCATATGAAGATAGGCTGAGAAAGTTGGGGCTGTTCAGCCTGGAGAAGAGAAGGCTGTTTGGAGACCTCATAGCAGCCTTCCAGTATCTGAAGGGGGCCTATAGGGATGCTGGGGAGGGACTCTTCATTAGGGACTGTAGTGATAGAACAAGGGGTAGCGGGTTAAAACATAAAGAGGGGAAGTTTAGATTGGATACAAGGAAGAAGTTCTTTACTGTAAGCGTGGTGAGGCACTGGAATGGGTTGCCCAAGGAAGTTGTGAATGCTCCATCCCTGGCGGTGTTCAGGGCCAGGTTGGACAGAGCCTTGGGTGACATGGTTTAGTGTGAGGAATCCCTGCCCATGGCAGGGGGGTTGAGCTAGATGATCTTAAGGTCCTTCCAACCCTAACTATTCTGTGATTCTAACATATCTTTTGATTTATTTTTTTTTTTAAGAAATGTGATATACTGATTTTTCCTTGTTCTTCAACTTTAACTTTGGCTAGGATTATTAACTTCCAATAGCTGGAAATTTATAAGACTTTCACTCAGTTACTTAGTGCTATTCCACTTTGTCTCCTCAGGGCATTATGTGTACAGTCTAAGGAACGCTGTGAGTCTGTGCTTGGGATTGTAGGTCTGCAGTGGCCGGAAGATACTGACTGCACTCAGTTTCCAGATGAGAACTCAGGCAACGAAACGTGTCTAACGCCAGGTGAAGGTGTAGAAGGTAACTCCTATAAATACGTAGAGCAGGAAATTAAATATATAATTAGGTTCCCCAAGCCACTGATGTTTTTACATACCTCTTCTTTAAATTATAGTATTTAAAATACGGGAATTATTCCAAACCGGGTTTCAGGGAATCTGGATACTTGCAGTCTGCAGACAGGAGGAAGTTCTCATAAGAAGTTTGTTTGAAGGAGGGATCAATTACCCTCAATCTGTGAAAGTCAGTGTTTGAGATTTGTCACCAGCACCACACCTAGTGCTTGCTTGTGTTTATACTTCACTTTTTTACCTATTTAGATGTTACAGTAATGCTTTTCTAACAGGAGGGAGACTCTTGGCAATCTTAAAAAGCTGAGCCTGTGAGAAAGATACTGTAATGATAGTGTCTTTGCCAGCTATTCTTTGCCCTTGGTTTTTCTTTGGGGGAAGTTCTGTAGAATCATTCTAACCCAGCTTCAGTAGCAACTGACAAATTATGGGGTTTGCGTTCAACCGTAATATCATTGTGGGTGGATGCAAACATGGAACAAAAGAATGAAATTGCTTTAAGTGCTTCTAGATATTGTTTGTATGTATGAAGAGAGAAGCTGTGCAGCTTTTCCTTCTGCAGTTTTCATCAGATATGGGATCTGTGGTGGTTCTGACATGCCTTTTCTATTTATTTCCAAAATGACAGTAAAATAGCTGGGTAAGTAGTGAGATGGGGTGTGCTACAGTACCTGCAATATGCTGATACTGTTCAGTTCTCACTCTTTTCCTCAGCCACATGGTGATGATGGTCTTTGAACAGCCTTGATCTTGGTCAGAGAAAGCAATGGGTAAAAGCTGCTTGGTCTACAGTTCTTTTAGTTAAGGGGTAGTGCTGTGGACATAGTGAAGGAATTGTGAAAAAACAGTGAAGCATATATAGCAGTCACTACTATTTCTTCAAGCAAAGTCCATTTGCACAGATATCACTGTGAGGACTTCCCTCCACAGCAGAGAGCTGACTGAAAGGAGTTATCCATTGTTACACAGTACTGTGTAGGAAAGGAAAAGTAAGATTGTGGCACAACAAGGTGAATTAAAGAAAACTGATGTGATTTAATTTTCTCAGGTATCGAATGTCTTTTAACCTTCCTCTCTGTGTTATTAGATCATTTGGCTTTGAAATATAACACAGAATGGTTATATTTTAAATATGCTACTGCATATGGGACAAGTGTGTTCCATTTCTTGAGACAATTTCTGACCACTTACAGAAATCTCACTTTAATTAGAGGGACTCTGCCTGGTGGGCTGATCCACTGCTCAGTCGTTATTTTAGTATTGAAATAGATATTTCTGGAAAATAAATAAATAAAAATAAAAGGAGTTGGTTGGTATTCTCTTAGAAACAGTGTAACTCATTAAGTGGTCGTACGCGAGGTTTTTTGAGTTTACTTACTGCTAGAACTTAATTTTGATTCATTCAGATTCCCACTGACTACCAGTGTTGCCTAGAAATTCTTCCCTGGAAAGTTTAGAATCTTAACTAAATATTGCTGGAAAAAAAACAAACAAACAAAAAAAAACAAACAAACAAACAAAAAACCCCAAACCAAACCAAAACAGAGGTAATAAAAGGAATTAACTCATGAGAACAAAAAATGCTTATGATTACAAAATATAAGTGATTTTGCAACTTTAATCACCAGAGTTTTTACAATGTGCTGAATTACTTCCAATCCATGCTGAATCTAAGAACACTGCTGGCCAAGACTGTATGAATTGTCAACTTAGTTATTTTCATAATGAATTAGTCTTAAATGTTAGCAGAATAATTCACATGTTTTTATTATTAGATTTTTTTTTTTTTCCTAAGGCTTCTCAGTTCATTGATATTTTTGGTACAATTCTTTATTGAATTATAAAATTTACCCAAGGAACCACATGGTATGAAATACCTGAGAGATTTTGAGTAAGGAAAAAAAAAAGAACATATGATGGAGGTTGTACATCAAAGTCAGTGACATGTCATGGTTTAAGCCCAGTTGGCAACTCAGCCACGCAGCCGCTCGCTCACTTCCCCCCCCACTCCCAGAGGGATGGGGAGGAGAATTCAAAGAATGTAACTCCCATGGGTTGAGATAAGAACAGTCCAGTAGCTAAGGTATAACACAAACCAGCGCTGCTACCACCAGTAATGATAAGGGAAATAACAAGGGAAGAGAATACAACCGCTCACCACCTGCCGACCGATACCCAACCTGACCCCCTGACCCAAGCAGTGCTCTAGCCCTTCCAGGTAACTGCCCCCAGATCTACATCCTGGGCATGACATGCTGTGGTATGGAAAACCTCTTTGGTCAGTTTGGGTCAGGTGTCCTGTCTCTGCTTCCTCCCTGCTTCACCTCCTCCCTGGCAGAGCATGAAACTTAGAAAGCCCTTGATCGGAGTAAACATTACTGAGCAGCAACTAAAAACATTGATGTTATCAGCGCTGTTCCCAGGCCGAAAGTCGGAAACACAGCACTGCACCAGCTACTAAGAAGGAGAAAAATGACTGCTACTGCTGAACCCAGGACACATGTATATTGTGGGAAAAAAAGAGTGGGTTTTTCAAAACCATCTAAATAAAGCTTTCTCACCTGTAAGGTGAGGCAGAAGCAATGGTTAATTAATTTAGTGGACATTTACAGGTGGTTTTATTAATTCAAATAGCCACATAATTGCCAGTATATATATATATATATATATATTTTTTTTTTTTTTTCCTGGGGATCTCTTATGCACATTTCAACACATCACATGATCTGTTTCTATTTCTGCTTCAGACAAGACCACGATTGTGAGAAAAGTAGCTACAAGGTCCCTGCCAGCAATTGAAACATTGTATGCCAGTTATCTGGCAAAGCTTTGCAGTTATTTGGCAAAGCTTTGAAATTCAACAGAGGGTAACATGTGAGGGAGACCTCTGCAAAACATTGATTCACCCAGTACAGAGTGCAAGTGTTGAGTCTTGCCCGCTACATGGTTCTAGTTCAGTGTTGCACAAACTTTCTATTCCTGTCTTTTACCCTTCTGAAACAGACACGGTGATAAGTAAGTACCCACGTGATGATTTAGCTTGGAGTTTATGAACTCTTGTTTCTCCCTGTTCTTTGTCATTGACAGAATGCTCACCCAGTCACTTTAAGTGCCGTTCTGGGAGGTGTGTCCTGGCATCCAGAAGATGTGATGGTCAAGCTGACTGTGAGGATGGTAGTGATGAGGATAGCTGTGGTAAATAAATTTGATGAGTTGGATCTTTTAAATGAAGAGTACTTGCAGCACTGGAAGATGAGTTTTCTTTTCCCTTCAGTTATTTGACAGTTCAGAGGATAAGCCCTTTTTTCTGAAAGAAAAAATGGTTTTGAAAGTGCAGGGTGATTGGGTTTTTTGTTTCTTTTTTTTTTGTTTGTTTGTTTGTTTGCTTGTTTCATGGTGGTTTTGGTTTTTTTTTGTTTTTTTTTTTAAGATTGGTGGCAGTACAAATACTTCAGCAAGCATCCTTCTTGCTTAAAGCCAACACAATTTATGATATTTGATCACTTAGATTCTGCCAGCTGTATTCCAGGATGAGTATTCCTTTAGTAAGCAAGATAAAAAGTGCTGCAGATTTAATTCTTCTGATATTGTTGGAGGTTCTACTGAACTAAAGGGTAGCTTTCTGGCAGTTGAAATTTTGAAGTCACAAACATAATTTTAATTATAATTTTAATATGATTTTAAATTTCTACACACTAATGCTCTCATTATTATGTGTTAACAAAATATCTGTGTTGCTGAAGTGGATTCTGTACTGCAGAAGTCAAGAATTACATGGTTTTTTTTCAGATTGGTCAAGCTCAAGCTGTAGGTACAAGGATAAAGTGGCAACCACAAAGTTTATTTTCCAGGATATTTCTGAATTTACTTATGGTGGAGATGCTTTTGACTTTTAACTCAAGGAGATGTATTGCACTTGAGAATAACAAACAAATCTCCTGGTCACTATTTATCCTTGTATATGCTGGCAGGATTGTTTTGAGAAGGAAGTTTATACTGTCTTTTAGGTGACTAAGGTGTAGCCTCTTTACAGTTCTGCATGATGGCCTGGTATTCCTAGGGACCCAGAGAATACTTATAAATCACTAAGGCTTTAGACAAGAGGTGTGAGTGTGAGTAAAGGACTGGAAAACATTCCAGCAGAGTGCACAACCTATTGTTTATTTTTAAACAGAGAGAAGGCTAAGATGAAAGCAGTTTGTGAGCAGCAAAACCATGGCAATAGAAGACTTTTGACTCAGCTGCACAAAAATAAAATAAGATCCAACACCTGAAAGCTGAAGTGAGGCTAAAATTCAAGCTTGACAGCTCTATGAAATGCTTAGTTTTTAAAAAAGCATCTTGTTTCTGTGATTGGAATAACCAAGGGTTCCTTATCACTAAGGTACAATGTATTCTCAATATCTGGGAGTTTTCAAAACACGCTTGTATTCTGTGTCCTCTTTCTGCCCCATTCCTGTCCCCCTGCAAAAGGAAAGCAAAAAGAAAAACCAAAAAGTATGCTCACTGAAGGAAGACCTGATATTAGGTTGTTCCCTTGCTTGGGTTGTAAAGGAAAGACGGAGCTGATGATCACAGTGATCATTCTGTCATCTCTTTACCTTTGAATCAATTGTCTCAATTGTCCTCCGTGCCAAATATTCCTCATTGCTACCTGTTCTTAACTCCTTAGAACAGTAATTGCTATGTGTCTTTCAGGGTAATTTTATTCTCCTAGACATTAACATATGAAATATTCTTCTAATATATAACATTAATTTCTCGAGTGGATCTCTCTATGTCTCTACAGTCTAGACAGAATGTCACTAGCAATCAGCAGAATTCTTATCAGCTCTATAAATATAGAGGACTGTATCTGCTAGGCAATTACCTCTGTCAGAGTGACATTGCATTGACCAGGGGTAACACTCTTACTGAAGATCAGAACGTCCTTGGAGAGATCCAGAAGTAACTGTCTCAGGCTCATTCATATTCCATGTGTGCAGGACAAAATCAAAACTTGATGATCTTTCCATGTGTAAATGGCTAGCTTACATTTTATTAGATTTATCCTTTGAAACTGGTTTTATACCGTTAAATGTCAGCCCGTATTTAAACTGAAACCCATGTATTTGAAGTGCCTTAAATCACAGACATGGAAAAAACTTCACAGTGCTGGCCTGAACAGATTGGAAAAGACTTGGAGGCTCAAGATACTCTGGCCAAAAATGTAAGGTAGAACAGCCCCAAAAAATCTAAGGTGTACTCTACCCATGCAGCATAAAGCTGTGTTCAGCACCCACTGTCTCTTCCTGTTAAGAATCCCTTTCATACCTTCATTTGATCTTTGTGAGGGAAATCTCACCCATGCAATTTTAGCAAACTCCTAAGACTTTAGTGCCATTTAAACTAGCATCTGGGGAGAAAATCTGACCCACATTTCTGAATGTGAGACTTCTAAGTGCATTTCAGTAAAGTCTGAGGAAGATAATTTCTGAAAACTGATAGATGTCAAAAGAGTTTGTGGTATTAAATATGCTTGATTGTAGTTAGAATCATAAAATAGTTAGGGTTGGAAAGGACCTTAAGATCATCTAGTTCCAACTCCCCTGCCATGAGCAGGGTCACCTCACACTAAACCATCTCACCCAAGGCTTTGTCCAACCTGGTCTTGAACACTGCCAGGGATGGAGCAATCACAACCTCCTTGGGCAACCCATTCCAGTGCCTCACCACCCCAACAGGAAAGAATTTCCTCCTTATATCCAATCTAAACTTCCCCTGCTTATGTTTTAACCCGTTACCTCTTTCCTGTCACTACAGTCTCTAATGCAGAATCCCTCTCCAGCATCCCTATAGGCCCCCTTCAGATACTGGAAGGCTGTTATGAGGTCTCCACGCAGCCTTCTCTTCTCCAGGCTGAACAGCCCCAACTTTCTCAGCCTATCTTCATACGGGAGGTGCTCCAGTCCCCTGATCATCCTCATGGCCCTCCTCTGGACTTGTTCCAACAGTTCCATGTCCTTTTTATGTTGAGGACACCAGAACTGCACACAATACTCCAGGTGAGGTCTCACAAGAGCAGAGTAGAGGGGCAGGATCACCTCCTTCGACCTGCTGGTCACGCTCCTTTTAATGCAGCCCAGGATACGGTTGGCTTTCTGGGCTGCGAGCACACACTGAAGCTGGCTCATGTTCATTTTCTCATCGACCAACACCCCCAAGTCCTTCTCCACAGGGCTGCTCTGAATCTCTTCTCTGCCCAACCTGTAGCTGTGCCTGGGATTACTCCAACCCAGGTGTAGGACCTTGCACTTGGCATGGTTAAACTTCATGAGGTTGGCATCAGCCCACCTCACAAGTGTGTCAAGGTCCCTCTGGATGGCATTCCTTCCCTCCAGCATATCAACTGAACCACACAGCTTGGTGTCATCTGCAAACTTGCTGAGGGCGCACTCAATCCCACTGTCCATGTCAGTGACGAAGATGTTGAACAGGACCGGTCCCAACACCAATCCCTGAGGGACACCACTCATTACTGGTCTCCAGCTGGACATTGAGCCATTGACCACAACTCTTTGCGTGCGGCCATCCAGCCAGTTCTTTATCCACTGAGTGGTCCATCCATCAAATTGATGTCTCTCCAATTTAGAGACAAGGATGTAGTTGATCTTATTAATTTTCTGGCTGCTGAACAATGCCTCTGGTGGAGAGCAGAATAGGGTTCTGGAGGAGTACTGAAGAAATTAAGGACGTAACATTCAAAACCAATATTGTCCTTTACTGTTTTCTGCACTCTGAGTTCCGACTATGGTGTTTTAGTTAAGAGAAAAATCTGGTGGTCTTAATAGCAGTTATAATTGCATGGGGAATATGTATATGAATAACAAGTGATAAATTGCTTCATATTTTGAATAAGAATGAAGGTAAGATCATATGTGAATCTCTATCTCTTGCCAGAACATATGTTTCAGATGGGGGTAATGTAAATATGGACATAAGTTTTCCTACCTCAATTTTCACTTCAATTTAATTGTTGTTAAATTAAAAATATATGTCTCACAAATATTAAGAGAGAAATATAAATACACCAAAGAGTAGATAACTTCTACCAAAACCCCAGTATATTTGAACACTGAATTCAATAAAAGGGATCTTTTCCTAAGGAATTGTCTCTATATTTGCTTATATTGTACTCAAAGATAAATTTTGGAGAGTCATGGTACACTTCACAGTGTAACACTGTAATGTGTGATGAAGAGGAAAAGTAAACAGGTATTAAATTAATTGTAAACACTGCTAAAAAATTGCAAAGTCCATGAATTATATATTTTTGAGCTTTTTTATTATATTTTCATATGAAGTTCCTAACATGACTGACATGCTTTATTCTTTATTTGGGTAAAGGTTTGTTTGGTTTCAATTAATTTTGCATTAATAGTTATCACAAATTTTGTCAGTAAGGAGACCTGGAAATGGTGATACCCAAGAAAGTTCTTGATCATATGGGTTTAATTTATTAAAAAATTTAAACTTGTTAAATATCAAGGCTATTTATTTCTCTGGGCTGTAGCATTTGTTTACATGGCCTTTTGAATCTAAGCAAAATCAACCACTCCACACATCCAGGCCCAGCTAAAACATGAGTAGATTTTCCCAGTAATCATATGAGGTAGTAGTGATTCTCTGGTTCATGTATTTAAAGTACTCACTTCTAAAATAACATTTCTTGGAAACAACATAATCTGCTTAGTAATTGAACTGCTTATGTGCTGCTGTAATTCTAAGTCCAGGCAAACAGAGGTGCTGCTTCAAATGCAGTCTTGCGAGTTTATACCTTAACTATCTGCATGTGGAGACATCAGGGTTGTCACCTGAATTAGAGCTTGGATTACAAAGAAAACTGGTATAATCATCTGTAGAACAAGCCAAAGAAGGAAGTCAAGCCATCTGTTTTAGTCAGGAGAGCACATTGATTTTATGGCTTCCTATAAAACCAGAATGTCAGATGTGCAGGACATTAGTATATTAGTATTAGGACATCAAAGTATTTAAACTAATATCACAATGAAGTGCTTTATTAGTTGATGGCAATAAATAGTCAAATAAAACATGAGAAGCCACTTGAAATCGGGCTGGTTAGCAGGATTTTGTAGAGACAATAAGGTAGTGTGTTCCCTGTGTAATAATGAACCCTTTTGAAGATTCATACAGCCATTAAGTCTCTAATCTTTTCAAACTGGTTTGGTCTCAGATAATGGAACCAGGAAATCTTTTATGGTCAATAGCTTAAAGAAAACTATAGATGAGTATTACAAAAGTTTATATATTACTAGTAAATCTAGTAGTGGTGTACGGGTTTTGGGCTAATTGAGCTAATGCCTAAACCGTTACTTATAGACATGTGTAGCATAATATTTTAAAATCAGTGAAGGATTATGAAGAGATATACAATTTATACCCATTTATCAAATGCACACTGTGACAATATTATTTCAGTTTCTTTATTAATAACTATTCTTGGTACCTTTTAAAGTTTATACGGGAAGTGAAAATATTTTTGGTGTTTCAGGATTATTAAGAAAGAAGAAAGCAGTGGATTTGATATTCCATGCAAGTGTTTCAAAGCTGTGCTTCTCTGCCTCTAGGTTGTATAGAAAGGGGTCTTTGGGAGTGTCCTTTGAAGAAGCTGTGCATCAAGCGCTCCATGATCTGTGATGGTTTCCCAGACTGCCCTGACATGATGGATGAAAAGAACTGCTGTAAGGGTTTATACAGTTTGTTAGTTCCATAAAGCACTGATCGCATTCTGGGGATCTTTGGGTGCAAAATAAATGAAATTAAACAGGTTTTCTACCAACAGAAAGGCTTAGTCATTCCCTTAGTTTCCTTTTCAGTTTTCCTGTGGAACCAATGTATCTCTTTCCTCATCTTGCATCATCTGTTGTTCACATCCTTGGATCCTTTCTGTCTCGTTAATCACTTTAGTCCTCTCGATTTCTCCCTATCCTTTCTCTTTCTTGTGTCTTTGTGATTCTTTTCTTTATTCCTTGTAACTTGACTCCTTTTCCTGTTTTTTTTTTCAGCTTTGTTTCATGTAGGTATGACTGCTCACTGCTTTTTTTTCCTTGATTTCCACTTGATTTTTGCTCTAATCTGCTCTTCAGTAAATTTTATGTTTCCCTGTTTTATTTGATTTCTCTTCTGCTTGACGTTTCTTAGATTCTGTCTCCCCACTTGGCTGCACAGGACAGAATCTTGGCTTCTGCAACCCAAACCATGATAAATATCAGAGATACAAAATTTAGTATGGTACACCAATGGTGTGAACATGCTGTCCATGTGCACGGTGTGAGTTGGCTGACAGTGTGTGGTGGGCCCGCTGGTCCACTATGGAAGCTGCCCTGTGTTCTGTTTCTGACCAGTGTTTCTGCAGCTGACCAGTGGGCTGGGAGGTTGTGGAAGGAGCTGCAAATGACAGCTGCTTTGCAGGCTCCTACCCTGCCTGTGAAGCTGGGAGTTGATGCTGTGAGGTGTTGCCTTCACTTTCATTAATATATTAGTGGTACACTGAATTCTTCTCTTTTGAGGAAACCTGGTGTGTGGGCATATTCCCAGGACAAGGAACTAGCAGAGACATACAGGGTAACACTCAGCCTGCACAAGAGAGAAGAGATGCTTGGTAAATGTGTTTGAAAGCTGAAATTTCAGTTCTCTGGTCAATCCCCATATTTCTGCAGGTTTTTTTTTAATTTTACAATTAAAAAAAAATTTAAAAATAAAAAAATTATTCCAAGCCTCTGGAGTTCTGTTGGCAGGGACAAGATGGTAGGCACATTTTATGTGCTGTGTGGAGCATATGAATGTATTTGTCAAAACAGAACATTTCTTGATCTGCTTTGTTGTGAATGTTATGCCATTTGATTTCCTAGCAGTCTGTGTCCTGTAATCTAAACAAGGGCAGGTGGTATTAAAGTTATTTGCTCATTATCATACACTAAGATCATGTCAGAGAAAAGATTCAATGAGGGCTTATGTTAAGCTAGTGTATAATTATCAGCCTGGATTTCCTCTCTGATTTTGTGTCAGGCTTGGAATATTCCAGAATGTCAGAAGTTTTCCCAGCTAAAGGCTTCCAGCTTTTGAAATATGCTTTCTCTGGGAGGCAAAGTTAGAGAGCTTTTTCTAGTTTTGCACGCTTTGTTCCAGAGCCAGGTGGGTCACTGATGTCAGAGTAGGCAGCGCTGCCTGCTCTCTATGGTTTTCACTGTGGAGTAAGTACTTTTTTTGCACTAGTGTTGCAAATAAATCCTTGGTTTGTATGGCAGTATAGATGCTGTAGACACTTGTGGTTCCTGCATTGGAAAGAGACTCAGGAAATCCCTGTCTAATGCTGCCAACTGGCAACCAGCTGTGAACTGGAACATGTCTATCTGTACAGCAGTTTCCCATCTGTAAGGTGGCGATAAAAATTATTCTGTTATTTTATATAGCAAAGGGGGATCCAAAAGTGAATATAGATTTGCTGTGGGTGAGAGGAAATACGTATGCATTGCAGCAAAACACTTTTTCAGGAGCATGAAGAAGTCTCCTCAAGAGCATTTAACGCAGTATTTTCACTTAAAGCTTCTGGGAGGCTTAGGCAGGTTTCATGTAACGAGACCACAAGTGATACAAAGTAATCACAGATCTTGCAATTTCCAGGCACTCTTCCTTCCCTTTGCGTTGTGGTGTCCACTGCCCCTCTGTGGCAGCAACCACCTTCTGCCTCAGTGATGTCTGTCCTGAATTTTGTTGCAAATCTGTCTCAACTGTCTTGCTCCATAAATCTGATCTGTGCCTACCTTCACCCTCCTCCTCACTCTTCCAGTCTCAGTGTAAACTTCACCTTGATGATTTCTTTCTCAGTATGAAACATGTCCTTGCAGCATTTTGTGAAGACAGCGAACTTGAATGTGCCAACCATGAATGTGTGCCACGTGAGCTCTGGTGTGATGGGCAAGCAGACTGCAGTGACAGCTCAGATGAATGGGACTGTGGTAAGTTTCCACTATGGTGCTCTCTGCCTGGAAGCAGTGTTTGGGTGATGGCAGTGCTCACTGGTGATTTTGTTTAGAATACAGTTGCAATAGTGGAGAGAGGCTCCCTTCATTACCAAAAGGAGTCTGGGTTGAGGTTGGGAAAGCGTGCAAGGAAGTGGGCAAAAGAGAAAGAAAAGCCTCGGTGTAAAGTGTCACAATGCAAAGATACAAGAAAAATGACTTGTCAGGGAACTTGTAGAATCTGTAGATGGTGTGTAAAATCTGTAGTGTTGTGGTTAGAACAGAGAGTAGGAGGATGTTCAGACATAGAATTCATTTGGGCAAAACTTCTAAGCCCTGATTCTGTACTTGTGAAAACTGAAATTCCCACTGACTCAAATGGTGCAGGTTCAGAGCTTATGAGAAGAAGATAGTCCTACCAGGTCCCCTTTGCACTGGCTGAAGACCTGCAGAGTGACGTAACCTGCTATTGCTATATAGAGTCAGATCAGGCCTCATGATTTTATCTGTTGTTAAAATAATACTCTTGAAGTATTAATTAAATCTTTAAATAAAAATAAAGGTGGACTTCAAGAAAGTGGTAGTATGTCCTCTTGAGATTTCACTGATCTAATGTGTATTTCTGTACATGACAATGGTTTATATTACTAAGTTTTGAGATACCTTGTGTGTAATTTTAAATAAAGGGAAATGGTGTACTGTGGCTTGCAGAAGCAAATATTTTGTATTCATATTGAAGTAGATTTTATAAATATTTTAAAACACTTAACATTGTATGAGCAGGGGAAGTTTAGACTGAATATAAGGAAGAAGTTCTTTACTGTGAGGGTGGTGAGGCACTGGAATGGGTTTCCCAAGGAAGTTGTGAATGCTCCACCCATGGTAGTGTTCAAGGCCAGGTTGGACAGAGCCTTGGGTGGCATGGTTTAGTGTGAGGTGTCCCTGCCCATGGCAGGGGGGTTGGAACTAGATGATCTTAAGGTCCTTTCCACCCTAACTAGTCTATGTTTCTATGAATGTTAAACAACAACAGAATTAATAAAACCTATGCAACAGAGAAGAACTATTCTAGAGATGTATATTTGAAAATGAGTAATCTAAGATTAATATGTACCAGTTTCATGTGGAGAGCAGCAGATTACTTTCAACATATCAAAAAAATGTGTAATGACAGTGTTAAGATTGTTACTACCAAAGCAAAAGTCAGGAACAGTTTAACTAAAACCGGTATATATGAGGGGAAGAAATGCACAACCCAACCTCTTGTAAGGGATCCTAGAAAGGGAGGGGTGTAAACTTCAATTTTGGACCGTTTTAAGAAGCTTTATGTGTGTAATAAATGCATTTCACACACTTTTATAAACAGATTAACAGAGAAGCAATGGTCATGATCTTTCTTGTAAACAGTAGTTGTTTTTTCTTTCTCTCATTACACCCACGTATTGTTACTGCGGGGATAGTACATATTACTGAGAGTCAAATGATGGTTATCAACCAAATGTCAATCAGCATTCACCTCACAAATGACTTTAGTGGTTTTAGTTGGACTATTTGTGGGGTAAAACATCATTTAACAAGGTAAAGGCTGTCAGAAACCCATGTAAACCTGTGCTGGTGAGTCAAGAGTATTCTGGTTTATTCTAATCCTCAAGATGCTTTTGTTGCCTAGTGCCTTATGCAAGGTTCTAATAGCCATGGTTGCCTTGGTTTTAAATTACATAGCTGTTGAACATAAAAAAATCAGCAAAAGTGCCAGTATCTTGGAAAACTCTTTTAAATGTATGTTTTCAGGATGCCATTTATAAAACTATGTGAAATAATAGTGAAGTTGTTCTCCTTTTTCTTTGCAGTTACCCTGTCTAAAAACATGAATTCCTTGATGTTCCTGACCATTCACAGGTCAGCTGCTGCTAACCATGTTTGTGCTGATGAGTGGCAAGAAAATTTAAGCCAACTGGCCTGCAATCAGATGGGCTTAGGGTAAGGTCAGTAGTTTGTAGCATTGATGAATTTCTTAGGACAATCAGAGTGCTGGAGTTGAATATAAATGATTGTTGATCCCTGCAATGCTATACCTAGTGTGGAAATTTTCATAGAGAAAAGAGGTAATGAAATTTTGTGAACTATGTCAGGAACAAAAGCTCACTAAAATCTAGGGACTTTCACCAGTTTATAATCATTACATGATTGATATTAAAAGAGTGTGTTGTAAAGATACTGAGGTCTTGCCAGACCTTGATATCTGAACTTGCTGTTATTGCTGAGGCTCAGAATTGTTTGGCAATGTGATAGTCTGTATCTTCCTAAAGAATGAAAGTAGACTTGTCTTAGGAAGCACAGGAAAATTCCTCTGCATCCTTTTTAAATCTGCAATAAGTACTGTGAACTAGGCCAGCAGATACGTTTAACTTGGGCATCTTTGCAAAATGAATTGTTAAAGCTCTCTGTGTGGAACTGGTTAAAAAAAATAAAAGCGCCTCTATGTATCTTTCTTGTTGCATGCTCACTAAACTAATAGCTGTTTTATGGAATAGTTGATGCAAAATGTAACTGTGGGATAAACCCCAAGTGCTCTGGTATCCAAAGCTCTCTTCTACCAGGGAAGACAGCCAGATGGCATAGAAGGTATCTTTTATCTGTGTCTGATCCCCAAACTGTCTGCCTTTTACCACTACATATACTGACATGCAGTCTTGTTCTTTGTACCTGTGTCAAAACCACAGAAGGATAATGACCCTGGGTTACAGTGTCTGCACTTAACCTCCCCTGTATTGCCTTGCACTTCATGGATGCTTGACATCAGTTCTAACACACCCCCTGAATCCAAGACCAGCTGTGCTGAATGGACTACCTGCCATTCTAACACCCAAAAATTCTGCACTCCTTTAGCTGGTTTAGTATATCTAAGTAATGTTGACATTATCTTTATGCTTTAACTTCTGTAAATCCCAGTAAGCTTAAACTCCTTTGATACCTTCAAAAATAGCTATTGCTTTAAGAGCTACTTTGTTGCCTAAGAACAAACTGATGGTCTTAACATTAAAAATATTTTCTTCTTAATATTTCAGTCTCATAGTCCTAACATAAAATTTGCTTAACTTTCCTATAGTGCTTGCTGCTGGGAAAGTGAAAAAAAGTATTAAATTATAACAAGAACTCTGATTGCTTCCTTTTTTCAGAGGTATGCCTAGGCTGAAATTAGCATGAGCAGGAGCATGATATATCAAAATTGAGACTTCTTAGTACCTTAGACCAGGAATTACAGGGAATGGTAGCATACGGTATTTTTATTTTCTTAAAAGACTATTTTTCATAACCATGTCTGGTGTTTTCCCAAATGTCAACACCCAATAATGTGGAAATATTTAAAATATGAAAGCAGTGTGTTTCTAACAGCTTGTTGATATTTTTTTTAATTCTTCAGACTAAATTAATCTGGAAAAAAAAAATGAAGGTAATTAAATAACAGTGGTTAAAGCTAGGTTAGTTCTGCTGACAGTGGTAACTTATTTTACAGAGTATCAGTCTCTTTACTTGGGAGGTATAAGCATTGTGCCTGAAGCAACATCAGAGGTAATTCTGCTCTGCCTATTTCATGAAATTTGAACTATTTTCCTGGCTGTTGTTCAACTCTTATTCCACAGATGATGTATTTCTCCAGTGTTTCACAGCATAACGTATGCAATATTTTGTGTGATGCAGTCTCACACAAAAAACATGTGAGTTCTAAGTATTGTCTGAAAGGCTTTGGCCTCATGGTAGCTGTTGGTCAAGTTATTCAGTGTGTGTTCTTAGCAGCTCTTATGTTTTCCTCTAGTGCAAAAAGAAATGAACTTTTGTTTATAATGACGAGAGCCTAATGGGAGCTCTTTGTTCAAGTCTTAGCTTTCTTAGTTTATGGCCAGAGGAGGCAATCGGATCACTTGATATGAGTGCCTGTTCATTGCAGGACAGAAAATTTTGTTCAGAGACCTCTAATTGAGTCCCAAATTTAAATACAATAAAGTATCTGGCTATTAGGCTTCCTACTAACACAGGCAGAGAACTGAACAGCAATCACCATCAGTGTCTCAGATCAAGGGTAGATATATCCTGGTGTGTGCTGCAGAGGTTGTGCTGTTGAGGATGGGCATACTATGCGGTTCAAAACATTATGTTAGAAGACAGTAGATTTGTTTTGATGTTTAGTTGAGGAAAACCACTTTCATATACTCTGAAGTCCTCATTTTTTATTGATTGAATGGTCATATAAAACCCGGGTCTACTAAGATCCGAAATTTGACAAAGCCAGCAGAGTTGTTCTGTTAGCGTAATAGTTTCTTTCCTACGTACAATGAGGTAACAAATGTAATAGTGATAAGCTTCATCAGCTTGTACTCAGCACAGTACAGAGGAATTTGAGGTGATCTTGTTCTGGTCTAACATAAAATCACGCTGTTCACCAAGTTACTTGTTGTAACTTGGTAGCTCTGCTACATCCTCCTGCTGTTGCTGCTCCCTTTCTTGGAGGCTGCGCCACTGGTGATCCACTGAAACAGATAGCTCCTTTTCCTTGTATCCTGTGCCAGAGCACCTATTGTGTGTGTATTTGTGCAGGGGAAAGGCTAATCTCTTTTTGCTGCTTGGCCTTTTGTCTTTCCTGATGTATTCTGCACTCTTTCTTTGGCACAGATTTCTTCAATAATTTTTACCAACTAAGCAGTCAAGCTGCTAGACCAATAACCTTTTGTTCTCACGTGAGTTATTATGCTAATTACTTTCTAATTCTACAACAGAAATAATGGAAATTCAGTTTAATGTCTTATTTGTTTAAAAACATCACAGAAATGAAAAATTGAATGCTTCTGTCCTACCCACAACAGAAATTTGAACTTCTGAATTTAGCCTACTTTATTTCCTCCAAGAATAAAAATGACATTTAGTAAATCAAATTCCGTGCCAAGATGAAGTATTTGAACTCATCGATGCAATTTGGATTTTACATTCGGTTGAGACCTACTCAAGTGAATGTAAAATGTGCTTGACTTACCTTGCACACATACACATTGTCCATGGCTGCAGTGTGTTCTATTAAATCTTTAGAGGATTTAGTAAAACAACAAATTCTTCAGATCACTTTTTTTTTTTTTGAGAGCAACAGCAAATTATCAGATGAAATTTACTGAAAATGACATTACAAGCTGTGGAAGACTGTTTTAGTAATTCTGAGCAACCGTAAACCAGTATTAAATTACATATACTTTAATCAGTATATGAGAGTTGTATTAGCTTAACTCTGATAGAGTATGTCTCATCTTTCATGTACACATATAATTTAAAATCTAATTATTTGGATAAGGCTTTTTTCAAAGAATTTTCAACCTAGTAATTCCTTACAAATCGTAGCAATTGCCTCAAGTAGTCAGTAAGTGTATGGTTACTCAGCTCGTGTAACACTTTCTAGCTCCATGACTGGATAGTTTTTATTTCTTTAAGTAAAAAGATAATTATTATTAGTGATTTAATATCTCCAGCAACCTTGGACCTGTCTGAATGTGCTCCTAGGCAACCGGGTGTAGGTTGCCCTGCTTGACCAAGAGGGGTTAGACCAGATGACCTCCAGAGGTCCCTTTCAACCTCAATCATTCTTTTATTGACTAAAAGAAATAGAAAGATACATGAATACTGCCAGCCAAAGAAGTGTTCTTATTGTAGTGATTGATCACAAGTCCTTTTTCAAACTGTTTTACATCACAGCTTGTACAAATGGCATTATGAACCCCCTTGTTTTTTATTTTCCCAAAAAGGGCTTCCAAGTCAAATTTACTCAGTGTAACTCTAAACAGATATTACATCTGTCGGTCCTTAAAGCTCATTCTGGAATTTGCAAGCTGAATTGTTTTTTTCAGACTAATGTGTTATGACCAGAACAACTATGGGAACATTTCTTAGTGAATAATAACTCTCTAAAGGAAAATGTTGAACAAAAATAGAAGCAGATTTTATGCAAATTCAGTGAATAGTTTTAGCAGGGGAAAAAGTCTGAGAAATCAAGTTATTTTGTTCTGAACATTTTAAAACGAAACACTTCACTTTTTAGTTAAAAGCAAAATGTGCCCATGTTTTTAAAATTAACAGTTAATTAACTTTTTTAACTTTGCATTTCATTTGAAGTTGAATTAAGACATCTTACTAATAAAATCTATATTTATTTGAAGTTTTCAATTTAGGTGGCCCAAAATGTTCTTTTTATAAGTTTAGCTACTTGAATCTTATAACTTACAGAGACTCAAATGACAATGTTGTGGTTTAACCCCGGTTAGCAACTAATCCCAAGTAAGTGAGCACTCACTCACTGCCCCCACAGTGCGATGGGGGACAAAATCAGAAGAGTAAAAGTGAGAAAACTCCTGTGTTGAGATAAGACAGTTTAATAAGGAAAGCAAAATCTGTGGTGCAAGCAGAGCAAAACAATAAATTCTCTACTTCCCATTGCAGACAGGTGTTCAGCCATCTCCAGGACAGCAGGGCTCCATCATGTGTAATGGTCACTTGGGAAGGCAAACACCATTACTCTAAACATCCTCCCACCTCCTCCTTCTTCTCCCAGCTTTATGCAATGAGCATGATGCCGTATAGTATTGAGTATCCCTTTGGTCAGTTGGGATCAACTGTCCCAGCAACTTGTGCACCCCTAGCCTGTGCGCTGTGGGGTGGGGTGAGGAGCTGAAATAGCCTTCAGGCTGTGTAAGCACTGCTCAGCAGTAACTGAAACATCCCTGTGTTATCAACAGTTTCCAGCACAAATTCCAAACATAGCCCCATTACAGCTACTACTAAGGAAATCAACTCCATCCCAGCCAAAACCAGCACACAGTGAAAAAGCAAGCAAATATTTTTTTTCAGCATATTAATTCATTCTTGATAGCATCAAGTAGTCTATCAGGACATAAGACAGTAGACATTTTGAAAACTGGAAATATCATACAGATTACCTGCTT